CCCCCCCCTCTCCCCCCATTTATTCTGATACTGCCGAGGAACAAGCATTTTTTGGAATATAGTTTCTTCAAGAAAGGATGTTAAGAACTTGGAAATAGTTTAAGTGAATGATAAGACAGTTCTTGAAATCGGCTTTCGCATTATATGAAGAATTATGCAGACTCGGAGGGTGTTGTTCCCCTTTGCCTGCGGCTGGATAATACACTCTCGATCTGCATAACTCTTCATATGATGCGAAAGCCGAATTCAGTAACAACTAAAGTATATCTTCATTTTTAGTCAAAACTCAAGCCGTGGCAATCTTCCCGCTTAATGGTGCTATTAGAGGCAAAGATATTAGTCTTCTTCAGAATCCGCGTGGAATACTACGCAACGTAAGACCGGCCCCAGGCCCTGACCTAACCCGGGATGGATCATACCAGTTCTACGGAAGAAGCAACAGTTATATTCTTTTCCCTAACAGAGGTGGAATGGACACGAAAAGGTCCATTACCCTATTGGCGTGGATTTACCATCAGGGGCGTGCGGGACCAATTTTTAACTATATGCCGAACGGCTGGGGCGTGCATTTCTGGATGATTTCACCTAGAACGCTTTTTGTACGATTCACGCGCCGCCGAGGACGCCGCTTCACCAGAGCGGTAATTAGTAGGACAGTCTCGCCCAACAGATGGCAGTTTGTTGGTGCCACGTATAGTCAAAAGACCGGCGTTGCAAAGTTGTTTGTAAATTCGAGGTTTGTCGTGCGAAAGCGCATTGGAAGAATAAGACTAGCGACCAACTATCCCGTCAGGATGGGGGCACGCATTGGAGATGGGAGATACTTTCGAGGACGAATATCCTGTATGCAGGTGTACAATGGCGCACTATCTCGCTTTCAAATCAAGACTAAAAAGCAAAGATGTTTTAGAAGTAAGTCATTTTTTTAAAGACATTTTGCCATAGTTTATAGATTTAAGTTACTCTTTCTTTTTTTTTTTCCTCTAAATTTAAGGAACATAGACATAAACACTGATCTCAGGTACTGCTGGCCATCTTGGTATAATTTCTCAAAAGACCTCGGTACTTTATTTTCGTCGTTTGAGTCAGTAAAACGGACAAGCCGCATGATCGACGATGACCAGTACAAAATATGGATCTACAAGCTTTAGCAGAAATCCCCCTCTCTGTGTTTTATCGAAGCTCTATGCTGGAATTTTGTACAGTAACAATGTTTTCGTTCTTCCTTGCTGTGATAGAACCCACACGTCCTCTCCCCAGGCCCAGGCCTAGACCCAGACCACGACCGAGACCACTGCCAAAGCCAAAGCCGAGACCCAGACCTAAGCCTGGACCAGGTGACAATTTTAATGTTGAGTCTTTTTAACCGTTCAACCACTGACGTATAAGAAACTCTCCATTTTCTCCTCCAAGATAAACATTTTCTTTTTTATCTTCCTTTGTTTAGTTTAGTTTAGTTTAGTTTAATTTTAGAGCGTTGGTAAATTATATCATTTGCCCTTCAGTTAGGACGCCCCAAAAATGAAATAAAGAAACTGGCACTGTTAACAGAAGTCGAAGTCTTCTTTTATGTTTTCCTATTGATAGCGTCATGCGTGGCTCTCCCATTTTGTTTTTACTCCTAATTTTTTTCCTTATTGATATATTTTGTACTAGTGTGTAGAGCATCAATCGACCTTGCCTTCCTGATTGATGGTTCTGGAAGTGTCGGTGTAAAGAACTTTCGCCGCTGCCTTGCATTTGTCCAGAACCTCATCCGAGGATTTAAGATTTCACCTCGCTACACTCGCGTTGCAGCAGAGGTTTATTCTTCCAGTACGCGTAGAATATTTCCATTCACACGCTACAGAAATGTGTACCAAGTGTTAAGAGCCGTTGGATCCATAAAATATGCTCATGGAGGCACCAAGACAGGAAATGCTCTTAGGGATGTCAAAAGATATCTGTACCGTGGAAGATGCAGGCGAAAGAGGGTTCTCATTGTATTGACTGACGGACGATCACAAGATGCTGTCCTTAAACCATCACGGGCGTTAAAACGCGCCAAAGTTGATATTTTTGCTGTCGGCGTGGGTCGGGGCTACAGTGTGACGCAGTTAAATGAAATAGTGACCGACCGAGGTCACGTGTTTACGGTTGATTTTCGAAACCTCAACTCCATCATTAAGGCCATTAAAAAGAAAGCTTGCAAAGGTAAGCAATGATGTATTTTTGCGGGCCACTTGATATACTAACTGATAGTACTGAAAATGTAAGGATTACTAGCGATGCGAAGTTCGTGATTGTGAAATAAGACTTCACTGGCTTATTAATCCACCAAGTGGCCTGTCAGATCACAGTTTTTTGCGTTTTGTGTATCATTATGACACTTAGTAATTCCTTCGTTTTGCATTCTTATTTTGTGTTTCAATTAATACTTTAAATTCTTCTCTTGCTATTTTAAGGAGGACGAAAGCCACCAGCTCCACACAGACCGTCAGGTATGGCTCGTTGACAATTTTCCTTTGGTTTTTCCTCTTTTTTCTTTTTTTTTTCTAATGGCAGTGGCAGGATGTCTGACTGAGGAGGCAAAATTCCCATTCTGAGGAAGAGAACCAATTAAAATGTTAAAAGCTTTCTAAACTTCTCAAGGGCTCATAATTTCTTTTCAGGAACACTACGAGCCGTTGCTGTGTACCCGTTGAACGTCCTCACTAAGTCACGTGACATCAGTTTTAGCAGAAATCCACCAGGTATTATGTCTTATGTTCGACCTGCTCCAGGCCCTGACGGACGGCGTGGGACGAGCTTTGAGTTCCATGGACAAAGGAATAGCTTCATAGAGTTCCCAAACAACGGTAAACTAGACACGCGAAAGTCCATTACCATTCTAGCTTGGGTGTACCATTTGGGTCGAGCAGGACCAATATTTAACTACCATCCAAAAGCTTGGGGTGTTCATCTTTGGATGATTGGCCGTCGGGCTCTGTTTGTTCGTTTTACAAAACGTCGAACGCGAGACTTTACAGCTGCTTTGGTGAGTAAGACTGTAAAACCCAGCCGCTGGCAGTACGTAGGCGCGTCTTACGATCATTCAACTGGAACTGCCAAGTTGTTCGTCAGTGGTAGACTGGTGGCGAAGAAGCGTGTCGGAAGAATACGATTGGCAACAAATTACCCGGCACGGACGGGAGTGCGGATTGGTGATCGCCGATATTTCCGTGGTAGAATTTCATGTATTCAAGTATACAACGTCGCGCTAACAGCACGACAGATTCAGGCACGAGCCAAGAGATGTTTTGTGCCAGGTTAGTGTTCTATCAACGGAGAAAGCTATTTCATTTGAATGCAATGCAGGGCATTGTTATTATTAATTCATTTTCCATGTCTTTTATACACCCATTTAAAAGTGACTTAAAATGCGTTGCAATTACTTACTTACAAATATTAAGTAACGAAATTAAATTTGGTCAAGAGTTAAGTGGTCAACACATGCAAATGTCTTTTGTTAATAGAATATTAAAAATAGGTTACAAAATTTTTAGTTTCTTTTTTGTCCATTATTTTACCTGTTTGCGCAGGGGCATTTCAATAATTCATTTGATGATCTCTTAACCGAAAAATTGAACATAATGTTCTCATTTGAAATCAGCAATATTGCCCTTTAGTTGTCATTTTTTTTCTTTCTTTACTGACCTTTTGCGTTCCTCTCAATCCAAATCCACCCCAGGGCTCCCAAAACCACGTCCACCACCACGCCCATCAGGTAACTTGTATAAGAGCAGAGGATGCTTCAGAGACAAGCCGCGCAGAGCCATGGGAAGGCTTCTTGGCAACTTGCGTCGAAGAAGAGATGCGATTATGCGTTGCTTTATGTTAGCGTCCAGAAGAGGGTATCGCATGTTTGGTGTGCAGGATGGTGGAGAGTGCTGGTCAGGTCCTTTAGCGCACCGGACATTTAAGAGATATGGACGCTCAAACAGGTGCAGAAATGGAAGAGGAGGTCCTTGGGCAAATGACGTATATATCATTATCACTAGAAGTGAGTAAAGCGGAAATTAGATGTAGAAATCCTGATGACTGTTTTGTTCTTCCTGCAGTTTTTCTTATTTTATTTTTTATTTTTACCTGATATTGAACCCAGGCCCTAGTTGTTCGAAGGCCGATTAGCGCTAACCCAGGGTAAAATTTTAACCCAGGTTTCTTTTTCTTTTGTTCAAAAGAATTTGCCGAGATTATTTTGTCTATTCTGTTTAGGCCATCCTATCATTAAACTGTAAAGAAAAAGAATAAAAGTAATTTTGCTTTTTGAGCTGTGATATCTGAATTCAAATTTCGCACTAACCCTGGGTTATCTTCGGTTATCTTAACCCTGCTTTAAACAACCAGGCCCAGATGTTCAAGCAACGTCCGTGTATTAATTCGTACATACCTCTGTTCGGGTAAACATTTTGATGATAACTGCGCGACAATGTAGTGTTGGTTTTAATTTTAAAAAAAGCTAAACTTTCTCCGAAGATTCTGTGTTCTAATATGTCAGTGCTCATGTAAACTGCATGTGAGGGTAACAAGTAGCCCAGACCAAATTGCAGCGTTATCTCTATCTGAGAGAACAAAAATGGCTGGCTATATTAAAAATTTTTAAGTTAAGCACAGTCCTAACAAAGATGAACTGTAATTTCTGATGCATTTTTATTTTAATTTATTAATTTATTTATTTTTTATTTTTTTTACCGTTTGTCATCTTAGGACCTGTTCCGCGACCGCTTCCTCGTCCCAGACCTCGGCCTCGTCCAGCCCTGCCAGGTATCACTGCTTTACATACATACTTGCTGAAGTGATATTCAACCTAAAACTCCTCAAAATATATAAACTTTAAATTACTTTCCAATCTTTTTTCTTCTTTATATGCATGGCAAATTACAAAAACAAATGACGATCTGTGTTATTTTCTTATATCTTTAGGATTTACATTATCTGCAGAATTAATACTTTTCTTGCAACCAAGGCTGCTTAACAATGATCGCTTATGAAAACATCACCCTTAATTTCTAAGCGGTAAAAAGAGGATTGGGTTTAGGTGTTAATTTAATCGGAACTTGTTGTTGGATCAGAAGGGAACATTAATCCGCGTTCGAATCGAGAAAAAACATTGTTTATAATGCCATTTTTTTCTGATATAGTCTGCAAGGCACGTGTAGACCTGGGCTTCATTGTGGATGGTTCCGGAAGTGTTGGCCGTGCCAACTTTATCAGATGTTTGAACTTCATCAAAAACTTGGTGAGCTCGTTTACTATCTCACCTCGATATTCAAGGGTGGGCATCTTAGTATACTCTCATCGCGTCATCCCAGTATTCTCGTTCGGAAGATACCAACGTCTCGGCGACGTACTGCGTGCTATCAACAAGATCAAGTACCCTAGCGGAGGAACCAAGACAGGTCGCGCGCTATCATTCTCAAGAAAGTTCCTGTTTGCAAGGAGTAATTACCGAAAGGTCCTCATATTGATGACAGATGGCAAGTCGTACGACAAAGTGAGGCAGCCAGCCGCGACGTTACGAAACATGGGTGTGGAGGTTTTTGCTTTGGGCGTTGGAAAACGTTTCAGCATGCGGCAGCTCATTCAGACAGCAAGCAATCGTCGGCATGTTTTTACCGCAGACTTTAAAAACTTGGGTTCATTTGTGAGAGCGATTAAGCAGAAGGCTTGCAAAGGTAACCTCTTTTTTTAGCATACGTATTACCTTGAAGTAAGGGAGTATTAAATTTTATGTTCATTATGGTGTTGATGCGAATGTGGTGTCATGAATCCAGCGTAACCTGCATCGCACAGGTCACATTCAAATTTTTTAACAAGACACTGTTGGATCTTAGACAACAACTCCATGTTCGTAAATTTTTAAGGTTACTTGAAAAATTGAAGTGGCTTGTTTATAAATGTGAACGTGAACTATGCCATGCAGGTTATGTCGGATGCACATGCCGTCACTGTCAAATTTCCAGATAAGTAACAATGAAATTGCTTGGAAAATCGCTTGAATGAAACAAATTACCTTGGTGTCAAATGTATTTAGAATTAAGATATACCATGATCTTACGCAGCGTTCACACTTGCTGCCCGAGCATGGTGCCCGAATGCGATACTCGTTAGGCACTGATACTAAAAGCTTCCTCAACCGCTTTGGAACCTCTGTTTGTTATAAATTGCGCCAGGTCAGTTTTTCCCTTTCGTTTTTGTTGGCTTGCGTAGACACCTTTTTTTAAGTACCGACGCTAGAATTCGGCACGTTTCTGGTGCTGGAGACATTGTATTCGGGCACAAAAGTGGGCACCGGGTTCAGTGCGCATAACATTTTATTTAGTTTTGCGGCAGTCCACTGCTTTGTAGACGCTGCTAGGCTGATGTTTTAAATTGGCGTCCGACAGGGCGAAATGGGGTAACTATGTACATAGTTATATATCGGGTATTCAAGGTGTGAACATTACACTATTTGTTTTTAGTGTTGTTATTGTTGTTTATGTTGTTTCCGTGTCGGTGGTGTTTTTCTTGAGGGGTTTATGCTTTGTTTTTGTTGTTGCTATTGTTGTTGTTGTTTTGTTTTGTTTTTTTGTAGTAGTAGTCTATGCTCTTTCGTTGTTACGATTGCTGTTAGTGTTAGAGCGATTTTCGTATGACCTTGAAAAATGGTTTCGGTAAGTGTTTCTTATTTGTTTCATCAGCCAATGGATGAATAGGTCAAAACATGGCCTCTTCGTTTTCCCGCCAAAGAAAACCCTAACGTGAAAAGGCATTGTTCGATTGGCCAGTCACGTCGCAGTATGACGTCAAAGCGAAGCATCGGTTGATTTCCAGAAAGTTCTGGGGCGTGAAGTTTTTTCACCCGAGCGTTCGCTCAACCAACCAAAAGCCGCGTGCGTTTGTATCTGTTCGATAAACCAATCAAATCGCTCTATTTCCGTTCGTTTGTTGTTCCTGTTTTGTTAGCGCGTTTTCATTTCGAGGTCATACGAAAATCGCTCTATTCATGTTAGAAAGTATCGTCTATTAGAACAGCATTTCAGCAATCTATCAATTTTTTTCTCTCCTTTTTAGGTTTGAAAAAACCCAACAAGCCACGTAAGTATAAAAAGTGTTACACTTTTGTACTATAAACATCTATCTTAAATTCAGCTTGTTTCAAGGTACATGTTTTTCGAAAACTGGTCCCTTCAGTTGATATCAGACCACTACACAGACAATGGGCAACGGTTTAAGTAATATTATCTGAAGAAAATATGAATCAACAAGTCGGTGACCGTATGGATTATTTTATTTATTGGGTTAGGGGAGACATGCATAGCTGAATAATTAATATCCATCTTTAGACAGATATCTTTTCTTTGTTTCCTAACAGACGCCATATCGTCTATCGCCATATTTCCGTTTAGTAAAGCATACGGGGGACGAGAAATACGGAAGAGAAACCCGGCTGGTCGTCCCATCCGGGTCTTTTTTTCCCCAGGCCCTGATGGACTACCATATGGCTCTTACTACTTCCCTGGCCGACGAAGTAGTTACGTGGAAATCCCGAACAGAGGAACACTGGACTTAAGGAGCTGTGTGACCATATTAGGGTGGATATATCACCAAGGAAACGCGGGTCCAATCGTGAACTATAAACGCAATGGATGGGGAGTGCACTTATGGATGGTAAGTCCTAAGACGCTCTTTGTACGATACACGCAGCGTCTTGGCAGGCGCTTCACGCATGCTTTGGCGTACCGTGGAGTCAGGCCGCGAACTTGGCAATTCGTGGGAACGTCCTACAACAAAAATACGGGTGTTGCCAAGCTCTATATCAACGGCAAGATGGTAGCACGTCGCAAGATTGGCAAGATATCATTGGCTACAAATTACGAGATCAGAGTTGGAGCACGACAAGGTGACCGACGCTACTTCCGCGGAAGAATTGCCTGCCTGCAATTTTACAGTGCAGCTCTGACCACCAATATGATCCGACGGCGTATGAAGACTTGCTTTAGAAAAGGTAGGCGCTTGTAAAATGACATGGTTTTTTGTCATGATATTAATGTTTTAGGTAAATTCTATGTTGAAATCATTACTTAATGCCTTTACGCATACACAAAATGCTCCTGTAGAGTTAAGAAGAAGATGTCGAACACATTTCACTGGGGAATACTAACAATAATATTTTTTGGTAATTTTTGCAGGCATAGCTTTAAAAATTGAAAAAATTGGCCCAACTTTCAATCCATGTTTATCTGTGCCATCCGTTTTCAACAAACGAAAGGAAACAGTGTCACTCCCTAAATATAGTATTAAATAACAATTCAACCGATACAAAGACATCTTTCAGCTTTTTTAAAAGATACAAAATAGCGTGACGTAGCCACTTTAAGTAAATGACCCAGTATTACAAGTAATCTCTACAAAAAAAATGAAAGTCAAACTGTTATGGTTACGGGTGATTGTATACACAGTAGCAGGGGCACCCAACGACAGTTTTCTCCTTATACATTGAAAACACTTTTTAGGCTGTCAAGAGTACTTCTAGAAATGCATTCTAAGTGGCGCTATAAAATTTGTATCTGTTCGGTCACCGTAGGGGAACTCGAGTCTCTACGAAATTACAAGAGATTCATCTTTATTATTCCGAAAATTTTAGGGGTAATTTGACGTATTACGAAAGTGAGAATTTTTCTAATTCCTCTCTCCATCACATTTTTGAATCCGAAAATTTTAGGTTTCCTTTTTTCTGTCAAAAATGGCCTAACCTAAGGAGTGAAATATGAAAAAAATAAACTTAAGAAAATCGTAGGGCATTCATTAGAGAAGCTTTAAAAATTTGTACATGAATGGCACGGTCATTTAGAAATTTTTAGCCGTCCTCTAGTAATAGAAAATCCTAGGCAATATCTGCCTCTCCGAACAGCTATTTTACAGAAAGCAGTCGTTGGGTGCCTCTGACATAGTTACCAGCTATATTTGTCCCAAAAGAAACTCGCACAAACTATCCAAAGATGACTGATCGTAACAAACATAGTCAAATAAAGGTGGATCTTGAATATTTTGCCGTAGGGTCGAGGCCTGTTCCTGTGCCCAGACCAAGACCTGGTGGAAGAGGTAAGTATATAAACTAAATTTACAAGAATTTCAAAAACGAGTCCTTTATACTGTTTATAGATAACCTGTGAGCGATTTCAGTCGTTTGCCAACGTGTTGTTTAGTTCAGTAGTACATTGGATACAAAAAACAGTTGAATACTCTCTGCCAACACTGAACAGACAATTATAAGTGACTTCGAAAAACCTTCTTGCTTCTACATCCTTCATGGTGCATGTTCCTTTATTTGTCAAAAATACGCCTCTAATTTATGATTTACGGACAATGCAACATGTAATCCTTTTTAGCATTGGATTAACTTGGAAAAGAAGAAGAATTTTGCGTTACATTTAATTTTTTTCTTTAGTTTGCAAAGCTAAACTTGACCTTGGTTTTGTCATTGATGGCTCTGGTAGCGTGGGAATCAAGAACTTTAAGCGCTGTCTTCAGTTCATAAAGAACATGGTTCGCACATTCGTCTTATCGCGCCGTTTCACACGAATTGGTGCCGTTCTGTATAACACCAGGGCTTACAAGATATTTGGATTTAATCGGTATGGAAACAAAAACCAGGTCCTTAAAGCTGTAAGCCTCATACGGTACCCAAGGGGAGGGACCAAGACAGGCAGGGCCCTTAGATACGCGTACCGTTATCTCTTCCGTCGAAGTAAGAGACGAAAGGTATGTATGATTTTACTGCTGTAACGTATAAGAGTGTCGAATGGAAAATTCAAAGAATAATAGTTGTTCCTTCCCTTTCCACAGTACTCACGTTATGCCCTTAGCGCTGAAGCTACGGTAAAACAAACAACAAAACGTACAACTTTTTTGTAACATTGCTACAAAACGAGTTGAAAAGATAGGTTCCGCGTTTTACTGACTTCTGATTGAATAAAATTACGCCGGTATCACGCTATACACGGGTCTTAACGTCACTTGCTACAAAGCAAGTTTGCCTTGGGCCGCTAAAACGAGCAACATTGAAAGATTTTGTTGCAAAAAGTAAAATCAAGTACCTACTTTCTACAACAACATTTCTCCACGTGCAACAACGCGATTTGTTACAAGACAGGTTGGGTGGTGAAACGGGCAACATCGGTATTCAACTCGTTTTGCAGCAATAGCAATGTTGTAAAACAAAATGCACTTTTTTGGATAGATGTGTATGAAATAAATCAAATAATAATCAGCTCCCAACATCAGTGGCTTCATAACTCAGTTGATTAGACCATCGCACCAGTAATGTGAGTTCACGGGTTCAAATCCCGTTGAAGTTCTGAATTTTTTTCAGGCTTCTTACGCAATTGCATAAATTGCTTTCACAGCTTCGAGGGTCATTCTTCATTTGCTTGCACGTGTTTGTTACCTGTTTTACTGTATCGTAAAGAACGTTCGTCAAGGCACATGCATGAAAATGATGATAGTTAACATGGGTGACCCCAGCCTTTATCTTAGTGTGTTGAATGTTTAGGCTTGGAATTGAATGTTACCTTTACACGTCGTTCGATGATGTAGTGTAATGATCAAAGCGGTCACTTAAGTAAGTTTTTCAGAAAAGGCCTTCTGATTCGCATTCTCATTTAAGGCCGTCAGGGCCTAAGTCGCCTGTAACCATGGGGCGCGAAAGAGATCCAGTGTTACTAACAGAACACGTACAGTTGAATACGAGAAGGCCTGGCTTTGAAAAAACAGAATAATCTCTCAAGCAATGGACAAGCAATTTGTTATGTCACGTGCATAGACCATACAATTAATGTGATCGATAATTTCCTTTTTCGTCTTCTTAAGGTGTGTATTGTCATGACAGATGGTCGCTCGTACGACAGCGTGACTGCACCTGCGCGAACCATGCGCAAAGGAGGAGTTGAAGTGATCTCATTGGGTTTGGGATTGCGTTACAACATTCGCCAATTACGACAAATGGCATCCAACCGTCGGCTCGTGTTCACAGCACGGTTCAGAAATCTGAATTCGGTTGTCAGAGTGATAAAAAGGAAAGCTTGCGGTGCAACAGGTCGGTAAACACTGAAACAAACAAGGTATTATTATAACAGGGTGTTAAAATGTGAGTAGCGTGTTTGGCAGCCAAGGCAAAATAACCCTTATGCTTTATAGCTAGTTTCGATAGTAGTGTATGTAAAAGGAAAGTCATTTTTCCTTTTCCTTTTCTTTTTTTAAACCCTATCCTTTTAAATTTTTTCCTACCTTAGGTGTAAAGCCGAGACCACCTCCTCGACCCAAACCTCCACGTCCTGGACAGGCTACTTACTACTGGGAAGGTTGTTATAATGACAAAAGAAGACGAGCTATTAAATCTAGACTCGGCAACTTCCACAGGCACAAAGATCCTATCAACGCATGTGCTATGGCAGCCTTAAGGCGAGGTTACAAAGTCTTTGCAGTAGAGAACGGTGGAGAATGTTACTCGGGCCCACGGGCGTATCAGACATATAACCGATATGGACCGACCAATCGCTGCAGGCGAGGAAGAGGAGGATCATGGGCAATGGATGTGTACAAATTTGGAAAACGTAAGTCTAGTTAAAAATTTCTCTGTTGATCCATGGCATGAGGTGCCTTGGACTGGCGGTCTTCAGAATTAAGGATAATCTAAATCCGTTTTTACCGTAAGATTACTCCCTGACATTTACAACCCTGATTGGCTGACATGTACAATAGTTGTTTTTACAGTTATTACCGTGTTTGATGTGGCAACAAGACGAAAAGGTCATTCTGCATTGAAATAATCCATTAACCTCGTTTGATCGTTTGTATGCCTTCTTGGGCATAGGAATATTTGATCGTAGTATCAACTGTGGTTATATATGTACACAACATTTCAGTTGTTTCAACACCTTGGGGGAAAAAATATTTCCAACGTCTTTGCCTATCCTCATTCCAAACCACTTTCAATTGAAAGAGCTCAAGAATCAAAGTAGAGAGAACCATATGTGTTCACTTTCTTTTCTTGCCCCATTCGTGCCTCGAATTTTATTGGGCCTCAGTATAAAACTGACCATAGATTTGTGCCTCATGCGGTTGTCAGCGTATTGCTCCTGCCAAAAGCAAAAAAGTTCAGTTCAGCTGGTGGTTTCAACTTTTGGTCTGCCAAACCTTATTAATGCACAAGTAGTGTAATGATGGTGTGAACAGAACAAAGTGGTAGAGGTCTCTAAGTAGATTTAACCAGAAGCCTTAATATGTCGAATAAAAACAACAACAACAACACCAAAGGTCTTGATGAATTTTTCTTATTGATGACCAAACATTAAACTTAGTCATGTGATAGAAATTAATGCCACATACTAGTGTTTTGCTTTTGTCTAAACATCCTCTGTTATATTCTAGTTCGTGGCTGGTCCAATGTCGTTATCCGAAACCTTGGCTGTTTTAGAGACAAACGAAGGCGATCTGCAGGAAGTATGGTGGCTAACTTGAGAGGCTTGAAGTATGCTGTCAGAGACTGCGCGCGCCAAGCCCGAAAGCGAGGTTACAGAATCTTTGCCGTACAGAACGGTGGCGAGTGCTTTATGGGTCCGAGAGCGAAAATCACATACAAAATGTACGGTCGATCAAAGCGATGTCGAGGAGGGAAAGGAGGTCCTTGGGCAAATGATGTTTATATCATTATCATAAAAGGTACACTCCGAGATCTGTTCAGTGGTGATTTCAGAAAACATCTGATGACTGAATAGACTTCTTGTCTTTAGAGTTTAGTGGGCATGCCCTGTAGACTTAATATGGTCAATGGTGTTCACAGTCCACACTTCTGAGTGGAGTATCGTCCAAATCAACCCGATTAAGGTTAAGCGAATGGAACGAGGAAAATTCCAATTACCTGATCGGAATAATTCCTCTCTCAAAACTAAAAATCGCCCAGTGCGATTGCGACAAGTATTCCCGCCCTGGACACAAAACTGTCAACCTCTGAAAACATTATCTTAATTTTCATGACTCGCACAAACTCTTTCTCCAAGTTGGTGAATTGGTGAATTTAGAAGTCAAATACCTATCTCTGTCAATCAAGGAGTTGAATCGAATCATAGGAAGTCTGTTGTACTATGTATACTCAAGGAATATTTATTAATAAGTTGAAGGACTAAAAACAAAAATCGGAAGATGTTATTAGCTACGATTACTTTTGTGGAAATATTCTTTGTCATTTAAATGCAGCTGAAACAACTCCCAACAATTTTGGGACTTGTTGGCAAACAATGTTGCGCCCGTTTGCACGGGGCACGGGGTTTCAAACTTTGCAGAACAACACGCAACAACATCGAACAACATGCAACAGGGTGTGCAAACGGACGCAACATCCAACAATGTTGGGAGTTGTTGGCCAACAATGTTGCGTCCGTTTGCACGTAGCTTAGCCTTTAGTCATTTTGGTGTTCTGTGTTCTTTAGGTCGACCACGGCCCAGACCTAGACCGAGACCAAGGCCACGGCCCAGACCTAGACCAAGACCGAGGCCACGACCCAGGCCTAGACCAAGACCGAGGCCGCGACCCAGACCCAGACCTAGACCTAGACCACGGCCAATACCTGTTCCCAGACCGTCTGGCAAAGGTAGGTACATAACAAAGAATGTGTGCCTAATTGTTTGAACCGTGGATTTAATGTTGCGTCCAATTTGCGCTTTGAAGACATGGCTTCAGACGTGGCTGCTGTAAAATCGCACTGATCCATATAAAACCTCTCATTGGCATGGATTTTCATGGAAGGGTTTGCAGAACCTTAGGAGCTAGGAGTCAAACACTCTAATCGAATCACCTGTATACGGTCGAATTTGTTATTATTACTGCATCACTTGCTTAGTATTATTTTAACCTTTTTCTTTTTTCTCTCAGTTTGTCGTGCACGTCTGGACTTGGCTTTCTTGATTGACGGTTCTGGCAGCATTGAGCGTTCAGGCAGAGGCAACTTCCGGCGCTGTCTAAATTTCGTCAAAAAAATGGTATCTTCCTTCAAAGTGTCACCCTCCTTCACCCGGGTTGGCGTAGCTCTCTTCTCATCTCGAACTTGGCTTGTTTTTGGTTTCAACCGTTTCAGAAATAAGCGACAGATCTACCGAGCAATAGATAGAATCAGGTATCCGAGTGGAGGAACAAGGATTGGAAGCGCACTTCGCTTTGTAAAATACAGACTTTTCCAAGGGAGCAGACAGCGAAAGGTGGGCATTGCAAAGTTAAATACTTTACGTATTTGCTTAGAAAAGAAATCATTTTCTGGAACTTAGATGTCGCTCATTAAAAACTGAAGCTGAGCATTTAAGTTTAAATGATTCCGCCATTGAATAAATGATGTGAAACTTGACAACAGCAAACAAGACACATTCATTTTTTTGTTATTTCGTTTTCCCGTGGAAAGCAGTCTTTTTTGACAGCGACATTAGAGTTTAACGGTGTAATTCTGTTTATCTTACAATGCAGCAACTAAAAAAACAATATTGAAATGGTAAGCTGTCTATATTACAGCTATAATAATCAATTTAACCACATACTTCCTCCGATTTAACTTTGATGACGTTAATATTCTGGATTTATTTCTTTTATTAGGCCCTTATTTTGCTAACGGATGGCATGTCGCAGGATCGAGTCTTAAGGCCATCTCTCGCGCTTCGTCACAGTGGAGTAAACACTTTCGTAGTTGCAATCGGAAGAAGAACGAGCCGTCGACAATTGACTCAAATCGCGCCCAGTTCGAAGAATGTTTACAGAACAAGCTTTGCCAGACTAAACTACCTTGTACGGTCCATCAAGAGACAAGTCTGTGCAGGGAAAGGTGGGATTGAAACTTAGTTTACTTTTGCTCTGGTAATTGTATGTGGGACAACGTCATGTTTTTAACACAAATGAAAGTGAATATCAAGGAAGGGGTTTCAAATTATGAATTATTAGTGCCATATTTCTGACTGTTCTTACTTCTCCAAGTCGTAATATTCTCTTCTCCTTGAGTGTTTACCATTTTTGGCTCGCTAAGTAAGTATAAGGTTCCTTGGAAATTTACAAGTTGAACCAGAAAGCTTCGTTGTGATGTTAGAATTTTTGACATATCGAGACCTTTGGCTTATTGCTGCAAAATTGGTGTAGGCGTCGCAGTTTATTTGTCGACGCGTCGATTCGAACTGTTCGGATTGCCGTCTGGGTTCGAGCCGTAGCGTTCCCACAGCGAAACCCGGTGATGGACCAAGTATCTTGTTCAGTGGGTGAAAGTTGTAACACTCGTGGGTGGTTAACAAGGGAAACTTCCAGCTCTGTGTACCTATATGGTTGTGAACACCTTTATTTTCCTTGAATTGTTACAAAAATGGTTCTTTATCGCGCACATATAATAAAATGCATATGTTTATTTCTATCACAGTCCCAGCTGGGCCCAGGCCTTCTGGTCGAGGTAAGTCAATGCCTTAATAGCCCATTTTGGAGTTCTCTATGACCGCTGAATTAAAGAAATGAAGACGCATTTTTTACAGCCTTAGCCTCAATCTGAAAAAATATATTCACAAATTCCAATGAGAAAATGACCTGTTTATTACTCTGTCTATTGTGTATATTCAAATTTCAAACACTTACTTGCCAGAATTTCTGAATATTTTACTTTACGTCGAGGTTAACCCTGTATGAATGTGTCATTAATATTTGTATTCAGCGGTGATTTTTAATTCGAAACTGGACTATTTCAAAGTTCTATTTCTTGTGTTCTCTTTCATTTACTGATACTTTTATGGAACTCGTGCTCTCATTTAAATTCCATATACGTCTTGACTTCACTTTTCTATTTTTTTTTATTCAGTTTGTCGTCGACGACTAGACCTGGCTTTCTTGATTGATGGATCTGGGAGTATCGAAACCTCTGGTCGCGGTAACTTCCGACGATGTATTGAATTTGTCAAGACCGTAGTGTCGTCATTCAGTATTTCCCCCAGCCGTACCCGTGTGGGGGTAGCTTTGTTTTCTTCCCGTGCTTGGCTGATACTGAACTTCTATCGTAGCACGAGCAAGGCAAAAGTGTTGTACACCATAAGCAGAATCAGATACCCTCATGGAGGAACCAGGATTGGAAAGGCTTTGTACTTTGTCCTGAATCGATTGTTTAGACGAAGCAGAAGAGCGCTTAAGGTAAAACTTTATAAAGGAATGAGGCTTCATAATTTTCTTCCCAATAAAATGTTTTACGTTATTTCATTACTCGTGCAAAGGAATCAAATTTTTTTATGTTACCAGTGCATTTAAACCATTACTTACCGTCCATTTTCTCTAATCTCCTACGCACTGTATCTGAATTTCGTTTCCTCTGCAGGCTCTTGTCGTTCTGACGGATGGCATCTCACAAGACTCAGTTCGAAGACCCGCACTTGCTCTACGGAGCAGGGGTGTATGGGTGTTCGCTTTAGGAATCGGCAGACGGTACCGAAGAAGACAACTTCAACAAATAGCTACAAACAGGCGATTAGTGTTCACCGGCAACTTTAGACGGCTGATTCAGGTGGCTCGACGAATCGCAAGAAGATTGTGCCGAAGTAAGATCCAAATTTAGTATCTTTGTTATAGATGTGAAATACTCGCCTTAACTCTAGGATTTCTGGCCCGTCAAGCAACCACTATGGTAGCTTCAACGTTTTTGTTGTACTTAGCCCACGCCTCTTACCTAGGATAGCTTTATTTATTTAAGTCCTTGACTTACTTGTTGTTAATTGCCATCCAAACTGCTTGCATCTGATCAATAATAAACCTGTTTGTGCCAGGTCGCCCACTTCGTCCCAGGCCTTCCCTTCCAGGACCCATCATAAGGCCAAGTGGCCCCGGTAAGTCATTCGAATTTTGTATTTCTTGCATCCAATTCGTTTCTCAGCCAATCACAAACNGTGCCAGGTCGCCCACTTCGTCCCAGGCCTTCCCTTCCAGGACCCATCATAAGGCCAAGTGGCCCCGGTAAGTCATTCGAATTTTGTATTTCTTGCATCCAATTCGTTTCTCAGCCAATCACAAACAACCAGATGCCTAAAACAAAAATTTCCTTTTAAGTTTTCCCGACGAAAGTGTGAAAAGTTTGTCAAAAGACCTGTACTTCGCATTTACAAGGGAAATCCGGAAATCTGGTCGGAAATCAAATGGTTCGCGCCATTCCCTTCGGGGAGCTTCAGAGAACATGGGTTGTGATTTGAGGGGATGCAATTTTTCTACTCTTTTTAGTCTGTTTAGCTGATTTGGATATACATTATCGGTAACGGGTCGTTCTACCACCACGTCAAATTTCATAGTTTTATGTTTATGCACAAGATTTCCAGTCGTTTGGTTTGTGTCAATGGTAAGCACCACAGGTGAAAAAAGAAACTGAGGAAAACCCTGTAGGTAGCATTAGTAAAAAGACGTCGTATTAAAAACAACGCCCAACGATGTGAACTGGGCAAACCCCGCCACTCGGTGCCCACTTAAGTTAGTTTCACAGCAAGGTCGGCAAGTGAGGACCTGAGAGTGAGTTAAACGTTAGTAACATGAATACTATAAACAATCAGGCAATCAAAGAGTGGCAATAAATGACTGTCGTGCTCATTATATAGCTCAGAACTGCGAACCTTCACACGAAAGCTAAGCATTATTAGGATTTTTTAATAAATCTAGACCCTTTTAATTTTCAGTGTGTCGCAGACGTCTTGATTTGGCTTTCTTAATAGACGGATCTGGAAGTATCGAGGTGTACGGTCGAGGAAACTTCCGTCGATGTCTCAATTTTGTCAAACGAGTAGTGGCGTCTTTCCACATCTCCCCGAGACACACCCGAGTTGGCGTTGTTTTGTTCGCTTCCCGTGCATGGCTAGTGTTCAATTTCAGACGCTTTAGAAACAAACATGGCGTTTTATACGCTATAAGTCGCATCAGGTACCCGAGAGGAGGTACAAGAATTGGACGCGCGCTGACATTTGCCAGATATCGGTTGTTTAAAAGAAGGAACAATAGGCGGAAGGTAAGTGTTGAATGTAAAGTCCTTCATTCAGAGCCATTCCCCAGTTGAGTCGGATCCAGTAATGTCCATCCCGTGGAAAGTGTTGACGGTCGGACATTTTTTGGAATTGCTGATTTATGACACTTTACAGTTGAGTATGATGAAAGTTTTAGAAACCAAACGTAAATTTAAGCCTTCTTCGAAACCTTAGATTCTAAATGTCTTAGAATCGTGCCCTCAAGTCTTCGAAAAAGAATGCTTTTAACCAGACTCCCCTGTTAAGAAGCTATCAAGAATCCAAACACATTTTCCAAGCCGGTGTAAGGTTGGGGTTAGGTTGTGCCTTGTCGCCTGAAACAATTCTGTGTTTGGAAACCTGATGAAACACTCCTTCTTGTGTTTAAGGTAGCATTAAGATTCCGAATTCCAGGAAGAAAAACAAGTTTTGTTTGTTGGATAGCTCTAATATCCATTTTAACGGACACACCAAAGACAAATTGCTCATGGCTTGTAACAATAAAATATGCGATTGACGAAACAATTGTCTCTTCCTTGGTGTTAATATATATGGTCTACGATTTCCACTCCAGGTTCTGATCATCATGACTGATGGCATTTCACAAGACAGGGTTGTAAGACCGTCACGTGACCTCCGAAACACGGGCGTGCGTATTTTAGCGCTTGGAATCGGCAAAAAATTCAGACGGGTTCAGCTTATTCAAATGGCAGCGAGTCGACGATATGTGTTCAACGCTGATTTCAGAAGCCTGAACCGAGTGGTGAGGTCCATCAAACGAACAGCATGTGGAGGTAATTAGAATGTGTTATGGCGCCATAAACCAGTGGTTTGTTCAATCTAACTAGTGAGCACTCTTTTTATAAGAACCTTTTTGCAAGAACGTTCAGCATTAAATTTGCCAAAATATTAAGAACATGCTAACAACATACCCGAGACTCAGAGAAGAACAATTTATTTTTCACTGCTTTTAAATCGTACTTTCCTAAATCCAGAAAATCTGTTTTACATAATGTTCTACATGGAATCAGAGTGCAAGTAAAATTTTGTTTTTTCAACACATTCCTATTGTGTATGGTCAATGATACATTTACATTGTACTTGTACAATTCATTAATGTGAAAACTATAATCATTGTCTTGCCTATATGTACCTTAAAGTTATCAGATTTCCGTTAGGGACATATTTAGGCTGAAGCTGCCCAGAAAATGAGAACGGTCCAGGCTCAACTCAAAAAATGAACGTTCTTATAAAAAAGATGTGGTACAAGTGTAATGTACAAGTGTAGCTGTAGTTTTCAAAGTCTGAAGTAACTTAATAGTCACTTGCCTTGGTTCGAGATTCCTTCGGGATTGAAATATGATATATGCTTTCATGAAACTATGAACGTGTGTTGCAGAAGCTACGCGAGATTCAGATATGTGAAAAAAACAATTTGAAACCCGATTGAGTTTCAAGTTAAAAGGGCAACTTACGTAAAGGTTTCACCTTGCCTAAGATGCACACTCTCATGCTTGGAATAGCTTTAAATTAATCTTGTGTCTGTGTTGTAGCCAAAGGACTGGGGCGAGCTAGAGGAAGAGGCCGACGAGGACGTCGTATACGATGGAGACGATTCGGACGTAAATTGGGACGTGGCAGACGAATTCGTCGAATAATGATGAGGCGACGTGGACGACGAATTCGTCGCATACGTCGGCGTCGCAGGCGAAAAATGATGCGTGGACGACGAATACATCGCATAAGGATGAGACGACGTGGACGACGAATTCGAGGTGTACGTCGGCGTCGCAAGCGAAAAATAATGCGTGGACGACGAATACATCGCATAAGGATGAGACGACGTGGACGACGAATTCGAGGTGTACGTCGACGTCGCAAGCGAAAAATGATGCGTGGACGACGAATACATCGTATAAGGATGAGACGACGGGGACGACGAATTCGTAGAATACGCAAGCGTCGCAGGCGAAAAATGATGCGTGGACGACGAATACGTCGCCTAAGGATGAGACGACGGGGACGACGAATTCGTGGAATACGCCGACGTCGCAGGCGAAAAATGATGCGTGGCCGACGAATACGTCGGATAAGGATAAGACGACGTGGACGACGAATTCATCGTATACGTCGGCGTCGCAAACGGAAAATGATGCGTGGACGACGAATACGTCACATAAGGATGAGACGACGGGGACGACGAATACGCAGACCAATCAGACGAAGACGAGGGAAGCAAAGTATGTGGAACTGATAATCGCATACTCTAATTTATCTATGTTGTTTTAGCTTTACAGCAGTGGTGCATAAAACGAGACGTAAGTAGTAATAACCTCCTTGCGACTCTCTTCCGCAGGGGCCGGAAAGAAAAGAAGCTTAGTTATTCCATATTAGGGTGGATATATCACCAAGGAAACGCGGGTCCAATCGTGAACTATAAACGCAATGGATGGGGAGTGCACTTATGGATGGTAAGTCCTAAGACGCTCTTTGTACGATACACGCAGCGTCTTGGCCGGCGCTTCACGCATGCTTTGGCGTACCGCGGAGTCAGGCCGCGAACTTGGCAATTCATGGGAACGTCCTACAACAAAAATACGGGTATTGCCAAGCTCTATATCAACGGCAAGATGGTAGCACGTCGCAAGATTGGCAAGATATCATTGGCTACAAATTACGAGATCAGAGTTGGAGCACGACAAGGTGACCGACACTACTTCCGCGGAAGAATTGCCTGCCTGCAATTTTACAGTGCGGCTCTGACCACCAATATGATCCGACGGCGTATGAAGACTTGCTTTAGAAAAGGTAGGCGCTTGTAAAATGACATGTTTTTTTGTCATAATGGTTAATAATTACATTGGCGGATCCAGGGCCGAAAAGACATTTTTTTAGACCTCCACCTCCCCTCTTATCTCATGGTCTGGATGACTGCCCTCCCCCGCTTCCCCTCATTATCTGAAGGTCTGGATCCGCCACTGAATTATGAGCTCTAAGTAGTTCAACTAGCCTAAAAGGGGCAATGTCACGAGGACATTAATGTTTTAGGTAAATTCTGTGTTGAAGTCCTTACTTAATGCCTTTACGTATAAACGAAATGCTCCTGCAGAGTTAAGAAGATGATGTCGAACGAATTTCACATCTCCCTCACATTTTTGAATCCGAAAATTTTAGGTTTCCTTTTTTCTGTGAAAAATGGCCTAGCCTAAGGAGTGAAATATGAAAAAAATAAACTTAAGAAAATCGTAAGGCATTTATTGGAGAAGCTTCGAAAATTGTACATGAATGGCACGGTCATTTAGAATTTTTTAGGCGTCCTCTAGTAATAGAAAATCCCAGGCAATATCTGCTTCTCCGAACAGCTATTTTACAGAAAGCAGTCGTTGAGTTACCAGCTATATTTGTCCCAAAGGGAACTCGCACAAACTAACCAAAGATGACTGATCGTAACAAACATAGTCAAATAAAGGTGGATCTTGAATATTTTGTCGTAGGGCCCATGCCTGTTCCTGTGCCCAGACCAAGACCTGGTGGAAGAGGTAAGTATATAGACTAAATTTACAAGAATTTAAAAAACGAGTCCTTTATACAGTTTATGGATAACAGGTGAGTGATTTCGGTCGTTTACCAACGTGCTGTTTAGTTCAGCAGTACATTGGATACAAAAACCAGTTGAATACTCTCTGCCAACAACAGACAATTATAAGTGACTTCGAAAAACCTTCTTGCTTCTACAGCCTTCATGGTGTTCCTTTATTTGTCAAAAATACGCCTCTAATTTATTATTTACGGACAGTGCATCATGTACTCCGTTTTAGCAAGGGATTAATTTGGAAAAGAAGAATAATTTCATGGCTTTAACTATTTTCTTCCATTTTCCTTTACATTTCATTTTTGTTGTTTTAGTTTGCAAAGCTAAACTTGACCTTGGTTTTGTCATTGATGGCTCTGGTAGCGTGGGAATCAAGAACTTTAAGCGCTGTCTCCAGTTCATAAAGAACATGGTTCGCACATTCGTCTTGTCGCGCCGTTTCACACGAATTGGTGCCGTTCTGTATAACACCAGGGCTTACAAGATATTTGGATTTAATCGGTATGGCAATAAAAACCAGGTCCTTAAAGCTGTAAGCCTCATACGGTACCCAAGGGGAGGGACCAAGACAGGCAGGGCCCTAAGATATGCGTACCGCTATCTCTTCCGTCGAAGTAAGAAACGAAAGGTATGTATGATTTGACTGCTGTAACGTATAAGAGTGTCCAATGGAAAATCCAAAGAATCATAGTTGTTCCTTCCCTTTCCACAGTACTCACGTTATGCCCGTAGCAGTAAAGCTACGGTAAAACAAACAACAAAACGTACAACTTTTTTGTAACATTGCTACAAAACGAGTAGAAAAGCTACGTTGTTGCGCGTTTCACTGATTTCTGATTGGATAAAATTACACGGGGGTCCCGCTATACACGGGTCTTACGTCACTTGCTGCAAAGCAAGTTTGCCTTAGGCCGGTAAAACGCACAACTTGTCAGATTTTTTTGCACAAAGTAAAATCGAGTACTCTACTTTCTGCAACAACTTTTTGCCACCTTCAACAACGCGATTTGTTGCAAGACAGGTTTGATTCTTGGGTGGTTAAACGGGCAACATCGATGTTCAACTCGTTTTGCAGCAATGTTATAAAACAAAATGCACGTTTTTGATAGATGTGTATGAAATAAATCATATAATAACCAGCTCCCAATATCAGTGGCTTCATAGCTTAGTTGGTTAGAGCAGCGCACTCGTAATGCGAGGTCACGGGTTCAAATCCCGTTGAAGTCCTGAATTTTTTTCAGGCTTCTTACGCAACTGCATAAATTGCGTTCTCAGTTGCGAGGATCATTCTACATTTGATTGCATGTGTTTGTTACCCGTTTTACCGTTTCGTAAAGAACGTTCGTCAAGGCACATGCATGCAAATGATGATAGTTCACATGGGTGACCCCAGCCTTCATCTGGCACCTTTCAAGTCTCTCTAACAGTGGTTGCAATCAGAGGATAGAAAGAAAGAAAAAAATTAGTGCGTTGAATGTTTAGGCTTGGAATTGAATGTTACCTTTCCACGTCGTTCGATGATGTAATGTAATGATCAAAGCGGTCACTTCAGTAAGTTTTTCAGAAAAGGCCTTCTGATTCGCATTCTCATTTAAGGCCGTCATGGCCTAAGTCGCCTCCAGCCATGGGGCGCGAAAGGGATCCAGTGTTAGTAACAGAACACGTACAGTTGAATACGAAAAGGCCAGGCTTTTATAAAACAGAACAATCTCTCAAACAATGGACAAGTAATTTGTTATGTCACGTGCGTAGACCATATAACTGATCTGATCTATACAATTTCCTTTTTCGTCTTCTTAAGGTGTGTATTGTCATGACAGATGGTCGCTCGTACGACAGCGTGACTACACCTGCGCGAACCATGCGCAAAGGAGGAGTTGAAGTGATCTCGTTGGGTTTGGGAATGCGTTACAACATTCGCCAATTACGACAAATAGCATCCAGCCGTCGACTCGTGTTCACAGCACGATTCAGAAATCTGAATTCGGTTGTCAGAGTGATAAAAAGGAAAGCTTGCGGTGCAACAGGTCGGTAAACACTGAAAAAAATAAGGTATTATTATTACAAGGTGTTAAAATGTGAGTAGCGTGTTTGGCAGCCAAGGCAAAATAACCCTTATGCCTTATAGCTAGTTTCGATAGTAGTGTATGTAAAAGGAAAGACAGTTTTCCTTTTCCTTTTCTTTTTTTTAAACCCTATCCTTTTAAATTTTTTCCTACCTTAGGTATAAAGCCAAGACCACCTCCTCGACCCAAACCTCCACGTCCTGGACAAGCTACTTACTACTGGGAAGGCTGTTATAATGACAAAAGAAGACGAGCTATTAAATCTAGACTCGGCAACTTCCACAGGCACAAAGATCCTATCAACGCATGTGCTATGGCAGCCTTAAGGCGAGGTTACGAAGTCTTTGCAGTTGAGAACGGTGGAGAATGTTACTCGGGCCCACGGGCGTATCAGACATATAACAGATATGGACCGACCAATCGCTGCAGGCGAGGAAGAGGAGGATCATGGGCAATGGATGTGTACAAATTTGGAAAACGTAAGTCAAATTAAAAATTACTCTGTTGATCCGTGGCATAAGATGCCTTGGACTGGCCGTCTTCAGAATTAAGAATAATCTAAATCCGTTCTTACGGTAAGATTACTCCTTGACATTTACAACCCTGACTGGCTGCATGACAATAGTTGTTGTTACAGTTATTAGCGTGTTTGATGTGGAAACAAGACGAAAAGGTCATTCTGCATTGAAATAACCCATTAACCTCGATTGATCGTTTGTGTGCCTTCTTGGGCAAAGGAATATTTGACCGTAGTATCAACTGTGGTTATATATGTACAAGACATTTCAGTTGTTTCAACACCTTGGGAGAAAAAACATTTCCAACTTCTTTGTCTAAACTTATTCCGAAATACTTTCAATAGAACAAGCTCAAAAATCGTAGTAGAGAGAACCATATGTGTTCACTTTCTCTTGTTATCTCATTCGTGACTCGAATTTTATTGGGCCTCAGTATAAAACTGACCATAGATTTGTGCTTCATCCAGTTGTCAGTATATTGCTACTGCCAAGAGCAAAAAAGTTCGGTTCAGCTGGTGGTTTCCAATTTTGGTCTGCTGAACCTTTTAATGCACAAATACTGTAATGATGTTGTGAACAGAACAAAGTAGTAGAGGTCTCTAAGTAGATTTAACCAGGAGCCTTGATATGTCGAATAAACACAGCAACAACAGCACCAAAGGTCTTGATGAATTTTTCTTCTTGATGACCAAACATTAAACTTAGTCATGAAATAGAAATTATTATTATATAAATACCAATGAAATACCAGGTGAGCTTCGCGCGAAAACTTGATATCTTCACATGTGAAAATAAAATGTTATCTTCACATGTGAAAATGTCACCGTTGCTGTGGCTACATAACAAATCGCGGCTTTCACACCAAAAAACTATTAAAGTGAAATCGTTTGGTATTTCGTTGGTGTTTATATAATAACTAGAACATTACATGGCCGCTTGGAGATACGAAATTTCGTATCTCCGCGCCATGTAATATCCTCTATATGCCACATACTAGTATTTTGCTTTTGTCTAACCATCCTCTGTTATATTCTAGTTCGTGGCTGGTCCAATGTCGTTATCCGAAACCTTGGCTGTTTTAGAGACAAACGAAGGCGATCTGCAGGACGTATGGTGGCTAACTTGAGAGGCTTGAAGTATGCTGTCAGAGACTGCGCGCGCCAAGCGCGAAAGAGAGGTTACAGAATCTTTGCCGTACAAAACGGTGGCGAGTGCTTTATGGGTCCGAGAGCTAAAATCACATACAAAATGTACGGTCGATCAAAGCGATGTCGAGGAGGGAAAGGAGGTCCTTGGGCAAATGATGTTTATATCATTGTCATAAAAGGTACACTCCGAGATCTGTTCAGTAGTGACTTCAGAAAACATCTGATGACTAAATAGACTTCTTGTCTTTAGAGTTTTGTGCGCATGCCCTGTAGACTTAATATGGTCAGTGGTGTTCACAGTCCACACTTGTAAGTGGAGTATCGTCCGAATCAACCCGATTAAGGTTAAGCGAATGGAACGAGGGAAATTCCAGTTACCGATCGGAATAATTCCTCTCTCAAAACTAAAATCGCTCAGTGCAACTACGACAAGTGTTCCCGTCATTGGACACAAAACTCTCAACCTCTGAAAACATTATCTCAATTTTCAAGACTCGCACAAACTCTTTCTCCAAGTTGGCAGATTGGTGAAATTAGAAGTCAAATACCCATCTTTGTCCATCAAGGAGTGGAATCAAATCATAGGAAGTGTGTTGTACGATTTATAGTCTAGGAATATTTAAGTTGAAGGACTAAAAACAAAAATCGGAAGAAGTTATTAGCTATGATTACTTTTGTGGAAATATTCTTTGTCACTTAAATGCAGCTGAAGCTTAAGCTACTTGCAAACGGACGCAGCAAGTCCCAGCAATTTTGGGACCTGTTGGCAAAAACTGTTGCGCACGCTTGCACAGGGCTGAAATTTGACCGGTTTCAAACTTTGCAGAACAACACGCAACAACATCCAACAACATGCAACAGGGTGTGCAAACGGACGCAACATGTAACATCTAACAATGTTGGGAGTTGTTGGCCAACAATGTTGCGTCCGTTTGCCTGTAGCTTTAGTCATTTTGGTGTTCTGTGTTTTTTAGGTCGACCACGGCCCAGGCCTAGACCGAGACCAAGGCCACGGCCCAGACCTAGACCAAGACCGAGGCCACGGCCCAGACCTAGACCGAGGCCACGGCCCAGACCTAGACCAAGACCGAGGCCACGACCTAGACCAAGACCAAGGCCGCGACCCAGACCCAGACCTAGACCTAGACCACGGCCAATACCTGTTCCCAGACCGTCTGGCAAAGGTAGGTACATGTTAAAGAATGTGTGCCTAATTGTTTGAACCGTGGATTTAATGTTGCGTCCAATTTGCGCTTTGAATACATTGCTTCAGACGTGGCTGCTGTAAAATCGCACTGATCGATACAGAACCTCTCATTCGATTTTCATGGAAGGGTTTGCAGAACCTTAAGAGCTAGGAGTCAAACAGTCTTCTAATCGAATCACCTGTTTACGGTCGAATTTGTTATTATTACTACATCACTCGCTTAGTATTATTTTAACCTTTTTCTTTTTTCTCTCAGTTTGTCGTGCGCGTCTGGACTTGGGTTTCTTGATTGACGGTTCTGGCAGCATTGAGCGTTCAGGCAGAGGCAACTTCCGGCGCTGTCTAAATTTCGTCAAAAGAATGGTAACTTCCTTCAAAGTGTCACCCTCCTACACCCGGGTTGGCGTAGCTCTCTTCTCATCTCGAACTTGGCTTGTTTTTGGTTTCAACCGTTTCAGAAATAAGCGACAGATCTACCGAGCAATAGATAGAATCAGGTATCCGAGTGGAGGAACAAGGATTGGAAGCGCACTGCGCTTTGTAAAACACAGACTTTTCCGAGGAAGCAGACGGCGAAAGGTGGGCAGTGCAAAATGAAATATTTTACGTTTTTGCTTAGGAAAGGAATCATTTTTAGGAACTTAGATGTGGATCATTTAAAACTGAAGCTGAGAATTTAAGTTCAAATGATCACGCTATTGAAAAAAAGATGTGAAACTTGACAACAGCAAACAAGACACAGTCATTTTTTTTAATTAATTTCTTTTTCCCGTGGAAAGCAGTCTTTTTTGACAGCGACAGTGGAGTTTAAGGGTGTAATTCTGTTTATCTTACAATGCAACAGCTAAAGTACAACATTGCAATGGTAAGCTGTCTGTGTTACAGCTGTAATGAACAATTTACCAACATACTGCCTCCGATTTAACTTTGATGACGTTAGTATTCTGGATTTATTTCTTTTGTTAGGCCCTTATTTTGCTAACGGATGGCATGTCGCAGGATCGAGTCTTCAGGCCATCTCTTGCCCTTCGTCACAGTGGAGTAAACACTTTCGTAGTTGCAATCGGAAGAAGAACGAGCCGTCGACAATTGACTCAAATCGCGTCCAGTTCGAAGAATGTTTTCAGAACAAGCTTTGCCAGACTAAACTCCCTTGTACGGTCCATCAAGAGACAAGTCTGTACAGGGAAAGGTAGGATTGAAACTTAGTTTTTTTTTGCTCTGGTAATTGTATGTGGGAAAACGTCGTATGTTTTTAACACAAATGAGAGTGAATATCAAGGAAGGAGTTTCAAATTATGAATTATTAGTGCCATATTCCTTACTGTGCTTACTTCTCCAAGTCGTAATATTCTCTTCTACTTGAGCGTTTACGTTTTTTTGCTTGCTAAATAAGTATAAGGTTCCTTGGAAATTTTCAAGTTGAACCAGAAAGCTTCGTTGTTGTGATAGAATTTTCGACATATCGGGACCTTTGGCTTGTTGCTGCAAAATTGGTGTAGGCGTTGCAGTTTAGTTATCGACGCGTCGATTCGAACTGTTCGGATGGCAATCTGGGTTCGAGCCATAGCGTTCCCATAGCGAAACCCTGTAATGGACAAGTATCTTGTTCAGTGGGTGAAAGTTGTGACACTCGTGGGTGGTTTATACTACAAGGGAAACTTCCAGCTCTGTGTACCCCTATGGTTGTGAACACCTTTACTTTCCCTGAATTGTTACAAAAATGATTCTTTTTTGTGCGCAAATAATAAAATGCATATGTTTATTTCTTTCACAGTCCCGGCTGGGCCCAGGCCTTCTGGTCGAGGTAAGTCAATGCCTTAATTTCAAAGTTCTATTTCTTGTGTTCTCTTTCATTTACTGATACTTTTGTGGAACTCGTGCTCTCATTTAAATTCCAGATACGTCTTGACTTCACTTTTCTATTTTTTTTTATTTAGTGTGTCGTCGACGACTAGACCTGGCTTTCTTGATTGATGGATCTGGGAGTGTCGAAACCTCTGGTCGCGGTAACTTCCGACGATGTATTGAATTTGTCAAGACCGTAGTGTCCTCATTCAGTATTTCCCCCAGCCGTACCCGTGTGGGGGTAGCTTTGTTTTCTTCCCGTACTTGGCTGATACTGAACTTCTATCGCAGCACGAGTAAGGCAAAAGTGTTGTACACCATAAGCAGGATCAGATACCCTCATGGAGGAACCAGGATTGGAAAAGCTTTGTACTTTGTCCTGAATCGATTGTTTAGACGAAGCAGAAGAGCGCTTAAGGTAAAACTTTATAAAGGAATGAGGCTTCAAAATTTTCTTCCCAATAAAATGTTTTACGTTATTTCATTACTCGTGCAAAGGAATCAAATTTTTTTATGTTACTAGTGCATTTGAACCATAACGAACGGTCCATTTTCTCTAATCTCCTACACACTGTATCTGAATTTCGTTTCCTCTACAGGCTCTTGTCGTTCTGACGGATGGCATCTCACAAGACTCAGTTCGAAGACCCGCACTTGCTTTACGGAGAAGAGGTGTATGGGTGTTCGCTTTAGGAATCGGCAAACGGTACCGAAGAAGACAACTTCAACAAATAGCTACAAATAGGCGATTAGTGTTCACCGGCAACTTTAAACGGCTGACCCAGGTGGCTCGACGAATCGCAAGAAGATTGTGCCGAAGTAAGATCCAAATTTAGTATCTTTGTTATAGATGTGAAATACTCGCCCTAACTCTAGGATTTCTGGCCCGTCAAGCAACCACTATGGTATCTTCAACGTTTTTGTTGTACTTGGCCCACGCCTCTTACCTAGGATAGCTTTTTTTATTTAAGTCCTTGAATTACTTGTTGTTAATTGCCATCCAACCTGCTTGCATCTGATCAATAATAAACATGTTTGTGCCAGGTCGCCCACTTCGTCCCAGGCCTTCCCTTCCAGGACCCATCATAAGGCCAAGTGGCCCCGGTAAGTCATTCGAATTTTGTATTTCTTGCATCCAATTCGTTTCTCAGCCAATCACAAACNGCCCTAACTCTAGGATTTCTGGCCCGTCAAGCAACCACTATGGTATCTTCAACGTTTTTGTTGTACTTGGCCCACGCCTCTTACCTAGGATAGCTTTTTTTATTTAAGTCCTTGAATTACTTGTTGTTAATTGCCATCCAACCTGCTTGCATCTGATCAATAATAAACATGTTTGTGCCAGGTCGCCCACTTCGTCCCAGGCCTTCCCTTCCAGGACCCATCATAAGGCCAAGTGGCCCCGGTAAGTCATTCGAATTTTGTATTTCTTGCATCCAATTCGTTTCTCAGCCAATCACAAACAACCAGATGCCTTAAAACAAAAATTTCCTTTTAAGTTTTCCCGACGAAAGTGTGAAAAGTTTGTCAAAAGAAATCTGGTCGGAAATCAAATGGTTCGCGCCATTCCCTTCGGGGAGCTTCAGAGAACATGGGTTGTGATTTGAGGGGATGCAATTGTTCTACCCTTTTTAGTCTGTTCAGCTGATTTGGATATACATTATCGGTAATTATAACGGCTCGTTCTACCACCACGTCAAATTTCATAGTTTTATGTTTATGCACAAGATTTCCAGTCGTTTGGTTTGTGTCAATGGTAAGCACCACGGGTGAAAAAAGAAACTGAGGAAAACTCTCTACGTAGTATTAGTAAAAAGACGTCGTAAAACAACGCCCAACGATGAGAACTGGGCAAACTCCGCCACTCGGTGCCCGCTTAATTTAGTTTCACAGCAAGGTCGGCAAGTGAAGACCTGAGAGTGAGTTAAACGTTAGCAGCATGAATACCATAAACAATCAGGCAATCAAAGAGTGGCAATAAATGACTGTCGTGCTTATTATATAGCTCGGCATTGCGAACCTTCACACGAAAGCTAAGCATTATTAGGATTTTTTTTTATTAAAACTAGACCCTTTTAAGTTTCAGTGTGTCGCAGACGTCTTGATTTGGCTTTCTTAATTGACGGATCTGGAAGTATCGAGGCGTACAGTCGAGGAAACTTCCGTCGATGTCTCAATTTTGTCAAACGAGTAGTGGCGTCTTTCCTCATCTCCCCGAGACACACCCGAGTTGGCGTTGTTTTGTTCGCTTCCCGTGCATGGCTAGTGTTCCATTTCAGACGCTTTAGAAACAAACATGGCGTTTTATACGCTATAAGTCGCATCAGGTACCCGAGAGGAGGTACGAGAATCGGACGGGCGCTAAAATTTGCCAGATATCGGTTGTTTAGAAGAAGGAACAATAGACGGAAGGTAAGTGTTGAATATAAAGTCCTTCATTCAGAGCCATTCCCCAACTGAGTCGGATCCAGTAATGTCCATCCCGTGGAAAGTGTTGACGGTCGGACAGTTTTTGCAGTTGCTGATTTATGACACTTTACAGTTGAGTATGATGAAAGTATTTGAAACCAAACGTAAATTTAAGCCTTCTTCGAAATCTTAGATTCTAAATGTCTTAGAATCCTGCCCTCAAGTCTTCGAAAAATAATGCTTTTAACCAGACTAACCTGTTAAGAAGCTATCAAGAATCCAAACACATTTTCTAAGCCGGTTTAAGGTTGGGGTTAGGTTGTGCCTTGTCGCCTGAAACAATTCTGTGTTTGGAAACCTGATGAAACACTCCTTCTTGTGTTTAAGGTAGCATTAAGATTCCGAATTCCAGGAAGAAAAACAAGTTTTGCTTGTTGGATAGCTCTAATATCTATTTTAACGGACACACCAAAGACAAATTGCTCACGGCTTGTAACAATGAACTATGCGATTGACGAAACAATTGTCTCTTCCTTGGTGTTACTATATATGATCTACGATTTCCACTCCAGGTTCTTATCGTCATGACTGATGGCATTTCACAAGACAGGGTTGTAAGACCGTCACGTGATCTCCGAAACACGGGCGTGCGTATTTTAGCGCTTGGAATCGGCAAAAAATTCAGACGGGTTCAGCTTATTCAAATGGCAGCGAGTCGACAATATGTGTTCAACGCTGATTTCGGAAGCCTGAACCGAGTGGTGAGGTCCATCAAACGAACAGCATGTGGAGGTAATTAGAATGGGTTATGGCGCCATAAACCAGTGCTTTGTTCAATATAACTAGTGAGCACTCTTTTTATAAGAACGTTTTTGCAAGAACGTTCAGCATTAAGTTTGCCAAAATATTTAGAACATGCTAACAACATACCCGAGGCTCAGAGAAGAATAATTTATTTTTCACAGCTTGTAAATCGTACTTTCCTAAATCCAGAAAATCTGTTTTACATAATGTCCTACATGGAATCAGAGTGCAAGTAAAATTTTGTTCTTTCAACACATTCCTATTGTGTATGGTCAACGATGCATGTACATTGTACTTGTACAATTCATTAATGTGAAAACTATAAGCATTGTCTTGTCTTGCCTATATGTACCTTAAAGTTATCAGGTTTCCGTTACTGAAATTTAAGAACATCCCTAAGGACTTATCCAGGCTGAAACTGCCCAGAAAATATGAACTGTCCAGGCTCAACTCAAAAGTGGACGTTCTCATAAAAAAGAGTGTAGTACAAGTGTAATGTACAAGAGTAGCTGTAGTTTTCAAACTCTGAAGTAACTTAATAGTCACTTGTCTTGGCTCGAGATTCCTTCGGGATGGAAATATGATATATGCTTTTATGAGACTATGAACGTGTTGCAGAAGCTGCGCGAGATATGTGAGAAAAAAACAATTTGAAACCCAATTTAGTTTAGTCAAGTTAAAAGGGCAACTTACGTGAAGGTTTCACCTCGCCTAAGATGCACACTCTCATGCCTGGAATAGCTAATAATCAATCTTGTGTCTGTGTTGTAGCCAAAGGACTGGGGCGAGCTAGAGGAAGAGGCCGAGGAGGGCGTCGTATACCCTGGAGAGGATTCGGACGTAAATTGCGACGTGGCAGACGAATTCGTCGAATAATGATGAGGCGACGTGGACGACGAATTCGTCGCATACGCTGGCGTCGCAGGCGGAAAATGATACGTGGCCGACGAATACGTCGCATAAGGATGAGGCGGCGTGGACGACGAATTCGTCGCATAAGGATGAGACGACGGGGACAACGAATTCGTGGTACACGCCGGCGTCGCAGGCGAAAAATGATGCGTGGACGACGAATACGTCGCATAAGGATGAGACGACGGGGACGACGAATTCGTGGAATACGTCGACGTCGCAGGCGAAAAATGATGCGTGGACGACGAATACGTCGCATAAGGATGAGACGACGGGGACGACGAATTCGTGGAATACGCCGACGTCGCAGGCGAAAAATGATGCGTGGCCGACGAATACGTCGCATAAGGATAAGACGACGTGGACGACGAATTCATCGTATACGTCGGCGTCGCAAACGGGAAATGATGCGTGGACGACGAATACGTCACATAAGGATGAAGCGACGGGGACGACGAATACGCAGACCAATCAGACGAAGACGAGGGAAGCAAAGTATGTGGAACTGATAATCGCATACTCTAATTTATCTATGTTGTTTTAGCTTTACAGCAGTGGTGCATAAAACGAGACGTAAGTAGTAATAACCTCCTTGCGACTCTCTTCCGCAGGGGCCGGAAAGAAAAGAAGCTTAGTTATTAAAATACCCAACCATAACGATGGCATTGGTGAGTCACCAGGCAANTTTTTTTACTGTAGCATTCTGTGTCATGTTCATTCACTATTTTTGGTTCCTAAATGTTAATTTTAGGCTTAACAGTGTCTGTTAAACCTAAGAAAGTCTTAGAATTGAAATACTTTATTTACCTTCCATCTTTAGTTCGTAAACAGCCAAATGGCAGCTATGTCTAAATGTCCAGATTATGTGTGGCGTGAAATTGAACCTTAAGAAATACCCTCTACACGACAAGCTGCCCATGAGTCAATAATTTTAATGCTTAGTACTGCCAAAATGCTTAAATAACAATGATAATAGTAAAAAGCATAACAATTTTTTACGATTTTCTCCAGGATGAAAGCGTTTCCTTTGCGGTCCGCACCTATTTGTGAAGCTGCGATCTCAGCAATCCAAGCAATCTTGTGATAGTTTTTTCTTGTTTGTTCGACAAATAAAAGCCTCGGACTCTCAATAAAAGGGACATCTGTATGTACTCGAACGCTTTAAGTCTATCTTCTGCTGAATAATTACATAAAATCTTACAAAATTAAAGAAATATTCGGGAAAGTGGTTATAGCCGATTAGCCGATAAAACGCGAAGGACCCGAGTGAAAGGTAAGCTTGCAGTTTCTCGATCAAGCGGAGGACTTAGAGCTATTTTCCTTCTGATTTACTGATCCTTACCTATTAAGGGATTGTTTAATACCCAAGCTCCAAGCGTAACATCTTGAAGCAATAACTTTTGATGTTTTAGAATTGACTTTTGTTTGACTATAAAATGTTTGGTCAGATCGACCATACGGCAGAAATAGCAACATGTGCATACTTCATCGGTTTTCAAAGAACTGACAAGGTAAATAGAAATTATTTTTCATCTCACGTTGAAAAACGACACATCTTTTCCACAAGAAATAACTAGAACCTCCCAGACTTGGCGGAGACAAAACCAGTCCGCGTGTCCTGCGTGTTGCGCATTTCTTTCGCGTCGCGTGCGACTACCTTGGCATGCGCAGAAAATGTGCGCAGTAACAATAGTGGGCACCGTCCTTAAGCTGTGCTGAAGTTTCAAACTCGATCATGACCACCTTTCCTACATCCAATATCCTGGGCGTGTGAATTTGTCAATGCCATGACGAAGGAAGGCTTCTTAAAAGGAGCACAAGTTTGCAAACCTTGTCATAATCTCATCACTAGAATGTTGCGCATTCACTGTCATTTGAATATGCCTGTGTCCAGACTATTGCACGGCAGTTACCTTCGTCCATTACCTGTTACAAATCTGGCTAACGCAGACTACCTATTTGCAAACCGTGATAATTCTTTTAGGCTCCTGCTTATCATCGGTAAAAGTTATGTCGGTATTTCATCTCCCCATCGCTGTAATACCTGTACAGCATCAAGGACAAATATGAAGGAAAGCTGTAAACTGTGATAACTCTCTTAGGCTCCTGCTTATTATCGGTAACTGATATTTCAAGTATTTCATCTTGTTATCGAAAGATATCTTACTATTGCTGTGTTTTCTCTACAGCATCAACGACAAAAATGGACGTAAGCTGCCTGTGGCACTTCAAATCGTCTGTAAACAATTCTGTTCTTATTGATGAAGTACGTGGTCGAAAAATCCATTTAGAGGGCGGTGCCCTTGTAACAAATACAGCCGAAAGGGGTCTGGTTGTAGATACCAATGGCGGATGGATTTCTCTGAAAGAAACTAATGGTAAGTTCCGTAGAAACGACGTTAATAACTGGAACAAACGCGTCAAAAAAGAACACATTTACCACACTGTGAGGTTTTAGTGAAATATTAAACAGTATAAAAGAGGAAGTCTATCTTTCCCAACTCTACGATTGTGAAGGAAGAAGGAGAATATACTGAAGGAGGCCTTTTTTTACTTCTAATTGTGTGAAATTCATTAAGAGAATCCAAGTTTGTCCTTCCGAGAGGATATAAAGAGGACTGAAAAGAAAGAATGTTCATAGTCTGAGAAATGACATGGATAATTATCATTATTTTATCAGTTTTTGCCAAGTATCACTACGATTTTGCAAGACAGTATGCAAATAAAGCTTGCAGGAAAAATCCTTGCATTCGCGAACAAAGGTTTTGGTCTTTAGGCAGTAGGCGATGGCTGCATGTCATTATTGCTGGCGTCGTGATGAAATACATCAGCGTAAAAACGCTTTTTTTCCGTATCTGATGCTTTTAATGGTTTTATTGCGTTAAGCGCTAACAAAACTGAATTATTCGTTCAGACACCTGCTTTAGTGATCCCGGACGCTGCGCAGACAACGGCATAACGGTCATGTCGTGGTTAAAACTCAACAAAACGTCGCTCAACAAGACGACAAGCTCCTACATCATGTCGAGTGGCGGCCAGTCTACTAAAGCGCGTGGTTTTGCCGTTTTGTATTTGCCAACGAGGTACATCGTGATACTAAGCATAAAGAACAAACAGTGGAAACTGGACACACCTGTTCTTCCTAGCGGTTGGTTCAACCTCGCTTTCACTTGGCGGGAAAAGGGTCAACTCAAGCTTTTTGTCAATGGTACCCTCGTAGCCAGCGCTAGGCCGGCACTTGTTTCCAGACCTCAGGATTCGTTCACAACATTTGTAATTGGTCGGCCAAACAATTCAGATCAACCGCTGTATGGCTTCCCATTAAAGATCGATAACTTGGCGTTCTGGGAAAGAGAACTATCTGAGCGGGAAGTCAAAACTGGTAGGTACTTTTGCTTTTTAACTGAATTAATGTAAGAACATTGTAATCAGTGTTGATTCTAGCTATAATTCACGTTTAATAGTTCGCCTAACATTATGGAAGCAGTGATTATTTCGAAAAACACCAGGCAAGTTGATTTTACCAAAAAAATATCCAGCCCATGAAAATAAACTGTCAGACTGAATTTAATGAAGTATTTTTTTATTTTACCAGCAATGCACTTTGAGTCAAGCAAACTGAGTAAATTTCAAGGGAAAGACCAGAATAATTAAGGTAAGGTGTTATTTTACTGTGATCTTACCACGGCAGTTGCTTCAATACCATGTTCTGTGATGAGACACTTATAGTTTCGTTTGGAGAAAAGCGGAGATTCCCAAAGTGCGCGGCTGGTTAAAAACCCTTGGATCAGTGGCCTGCTTAGAAGCGAAAAAGTTCACGTTCCGCTGACATCAATGAGAAGAAATTGTAGACTGGAACAGAAGTGAATGCAGGATTACATGGCACTCAAGTGACCTCAGGACGGTCACGTAACGAGATAATTGCATCAAAGATGTTTGATAGTTCAAGCCCGCAATTCTCTTGTCACGTAACCGTCCTGTGGCCACATGACTGCTGAAAACCAAGCCATTTTTGCCGAAATCAGGAGCGAAATATCTAGAAGCAAATATTTTGTACGTCCCAGTCCCATTTCTTCTCATTCACTTTCTGTTTGCCTTTCTACTCACAGACACCGCAACCCAAGATCATGAAACGACAGATGGTCGATAGAGGTGGCAAGATATGTTGATATAATATTTTAGGATTTGCATGAAACTGTGTCTAAACTTCTACTATGCATCAGTAACGATGAATATTGAAAAATAAATTATCATTGTACTTTATCACGCATCATTTTGTTGTCATAAATATTATCCTGGCCCCCAGTTGTTCAAGAGGTGGATACCGCCTTAGAATATTAATCCCTTCCACACGAAGTTGAAGTAATTCAAAGCCGCGCGATGTTTATCATTTTTGTCCCTTGTTCATTGAAAAAGACCCTCACTAAGGCAGGCCTCGTCTCTACATGAACGTGACGAGAATTCACCGGCAATCAGAGGTTAATTTAGTCTCCCCCGCAGGCGTTTTTAGGGGAGATATCCCCTAAAAACGCCTGCGGGGGAGGCCAAGGTTAATGCGTACGGTGACGTTATAGACAAATTGGTATCTTTTCTATCATTATAACATAGAATCGTAGACTTCAACATCCTCGTTCTGTTCGACTGGGTTTCTAAACTTGATTGTATACTTGGTTACAAACCTAGCTTCTGCAAAGCGAAATGGAAGGCTTTAAATTGAAAAAAAATGGTTAATGTAATTCTATATTAAATGGATTGGAGGCTTTCGAAATGTTAGTTTGAAAACATTTTTATTTAAAGGTACTATGCGTTACAGTTCGACTGTAGGGTTGTCAGATACATCATTCTTCTTACAAAGTAGGAAATGTCTTAAAGGGTGCCATAATAAGAACCTATCATTAACCTCTAGAGACTATATACAACACAATATTCTTCTCAGCAATGTATTAGAAATATCTAGGTTGGGTTCTGAAGTTTTCCAAACAAGTTGCTTTAAAATCTGAAAAAGTTGCTCTCAACACAAGCAGACCACCTTCTGTTCTTGGGCCGAACAGAGGGAGATCTGCCCATGCTCTCAAAAATTGTTTGTAACCAAATATTGACTGGATCATATTCGAACTACTTTCATTTTCATTTCAGTCTTGCTTATTATTATTCCATTTAAACTCATTCCTTCATTTACTTTCATGAGAGATCATACTGTCGAAAGTGCCGGTTAGAGTGCTATTAATTGATTTACCTGTCGTCGTTAAGAGAGCTTACATTAGCTTGTTAAAAACCTATACAAATGGATCAACTCCTAGCTATGGTGTAAAACTAGTGATTTTCAACATTTGTCTCCATCCTTTACGCTATATATGCACATTTGCACTATCATATATTGCCAAGAAAAATAACTTTTGCGTATCTCGGACTACGTACCACAGTCAAGCCTCGCTGTCGATCTGACAGCTCCCCAGCGAAAACGGATTCATGGAGATATTCGCTTCTGTGTTGGTATTCATTTTCCTCGACTGTCCATAAAGTAGAAACTCCCCTAAGACGGACACTTAAGTGAAGTTCAAAACGTCGAGAGCTTGCTTATGCGTTAACTACCAAACGTGTAGTTAAGGTGGCTAGATTGGTCAAGTTTTTGAATGGATCGTTCCTTAGACTAAACTAAACAACGTCAGTCACCAAAATTACTTTAATTAAGTTATTGTATGTTAGGTTATTATTATTATTATTACGGGCGTAGCTACCAGTATGCACGGTACGCACGTGCGTACCTGATCACGAAAGCCAGTCGAGTGTAAAAAAAATCGAATAAACTGGTTAAAAGATTACATCAACGTAGAGTGCCTTTGTCAGTCAAAGACAATGTGGCAAACAAACAAATCAGTCAATTGTAAATAAAAGACTGAGATACTTAACCACTAAAGCGATTGATGATAAACCCAAAAAGTCGTCAAAGAAATCTGCGACTTACTAATGTCATTTCATAGACAGTAAAAACGCTTTGGCTTGTAGTTTAACCTCACCTTTCATCAAGGGGTAATAAATTTGGGACTTAGGGAAGGGAGCTGGGAAATTTGAAAACTGAATTTTGTGTACCTCTGGAGAGAATCCTGGCTGGCTACGCCCCTGCCTGTCTAAGTTATACTACAACGCCTACTTTCCAACTCCTGAAATTACCGTTGTTTAAATCAATAGATGGCCGCCAGTGCAAAGCTGTGATGCCCTCACTTCAGGCATGTCCTAAGATTGCCTCAACTTTTGGCTTGGTTTTAATCTGACTTTTCTTGGTGCGGACAGAACTGATGACTTTCTACTTCCATTGGCTTCTATTAAGAGCCTGCAAATAACAATAAACAGTATAAATAATTCAGTCTCAAAAATGACTTCAGGTTAGACTGCAAGCAGTCTATTTTTTTTCTTCAAAGTTAATCCACGCGTAACCTATGCACCCGAGCAGCGAGCTTTGAATCCGTGAGCGGCAATAAAGGTCGTTGTTTGCAAACGTGCTAACTTGGATGAGAACTCGGTGTGTAGTGAGAGAAAAGGCGTAACTGTAGAGAGGGCTTATACTGTCATGTATAATGATTATTAATTAGTGATTTTCCTGACAAAGTATTCCTTTTTTAAGCCATTGAGATGACTACAAAATCCCATATTTATATTCGCAGGTATAGAAATAGAATATATTGTGCGAATTTATCACAGAACGTTTTTCAGTGCAGCTGTTCTGGATTTGGAAACTCGGGTGAAGGATTTAGATCTGTAGGAAAAGAAAGGATTAAAATGTACTCCATGTGCGAAAAATTTCTATAAGTGAATCTTCCATATTGTCTAGCTTCATGTAGATACAGCTAGTGACTGGGTGATCCCTTGGGGAACCCCATATAAAAGTGACGGGAATGCTAGTCGGAAAATGGAACCTCTGAGGGAGACCAATGTCAGTGGGGCTCAAGCTTAAACTGACCTGCAAAGGAGACCATACTAAAACAAACATCGCGGCATTTTTTGTAAAAGTCTTTATGCAGAACCCTAAGCGATACCTGAATAGGCAAATATAGTGACTCTTGGTCCCAAACACCCTAAATGAGACCAAAATCTACAATTTACAAGCCTGCGGGAGACGACCAGCATCGCTGTCACTTGTTCATGGGAATCCTCCGCGAGGGGTTATTGCACGAGCCACATATTAACGAAGAGTACTTACAGTTCTGTTTTGTTTTTTGAGCCCTTGTTACCAGGCTTTATCCAGTAAAACTTGGCAGGGCCGTGCTTTGACACAAATGATATCTCAGATGCCATCCCGTTGATCATGCCTTTATGGAATGACTCGTCTTTTAAATGAACTGCCCTATTTTCATCAGTTTTATTGTCCTTGTTATCGTGACTTCTATCCTTCATTAATCTGGGTACGTCTTGCTTTGAGACTGCATCTTCATCATCGACATCATCTTCCTCGTCCTCGTGGCTACTTTTGTGTAATTTATGTTTTTTGTGTCTATGCCCATGTCTTATTTTTTCATCATCGCCATCATTATCACTATCATCATCATCATAGCTTTCATCATCGTCGTCATTATCATGATCTTCGTGGACATCGTCTTTGTTGTCCTCATCTTCATCATCGTAATTTTCTTTTTCTGACACGTCTTCTACATCTGGGATATCATCATTGTCCGAGTCATCTTTCGAGTCATCTTCATCATCGTCCTCTTTAAAGTGAAAAGTCAAAATGTATTAGTTCAGTAGTCCTGATAGCTCTTGTTTCACAAGCACTGATAAGATGACTGCACTTCTCACTCCCCCATGTAAGGGTTTTGAGGTATTACTCTACTACTAGATTATCTTATAGATGAAGACGGCACTAGGCGCAAAAGGACTTCCCGGAAAAAAACTTAACTTCTGGATGTGAGTTAATTGTCCAGTGGAGGTTCAGAGATGTTAGTTTGCATTAAAACGCCAAAGCTACCTTGTTTCGTGTATTATATTGTTTAGTAGGTTTGTCTCTTTCTATTCGTCAAGAAGAATTTGCGGTTGCTTATTTCTAACTTGGAGGAGGGTAGAGAACAAGGAGTGCCTTGTTATTCTTTATTGATAAAACGTTATTTTGACGGAAAATGTAAGAACATTTCTTATAATCAAATTATAGAGTTGAACTTGCCAGAACAGTGTGCGTATTGATCAAATGTGTCTATAAATCGAGTGCACACTTAGGCATATTTGCCTCCGAATTAACAAAGTTTCAAACCGTTTCCAAAGCTGTTTTTCCAGCATTATATGTAATACAGAAAATATTTTAGTTTCTTGTCCATTTTAATTCAATTTTATCGCTCGCTCTAGACGACTTTATGTTGTGAACCAAATTGCACTGAAAGCTGTTTTAGCGTCACTTTTCATCACGCGACCAGGTGGAATAAAATGAGTCGATGATGACTTATGTAAAGCAGCGGTTCGGGCCCAGTTTGATGTTTTATTCTTTTTCATCTTTGTACAACTTTGCCAGTGTATTAATGCTTCTTATTTACCTACGCATTCGTCCAGTATTCGTTCAGTATTGGTAATAAAGGTCGGTTTACACTGAGCGTCGGCGACACAGTGGGCTGTCAAGTCAACTTTACATGCCTTTTCAAAGCATGGGTCGAAGCCGCATATCGTAGTGGCGGGTACTGTTAAGATGCCTGTTAGTTTAGAGAAGAAAGTCGCTGAGTGATACAAAAATGATAATGAACTATGCTGGCACAAACGTGGAGGGTTTGTTCATACCTGGAACACCCTTTTTATGGTAGCCACGCCCGACGCTCGTGTACAAAGTCGAGACCTTGTATACTGTTTTCATACCCCTAACTTCCTTCTCACTAATGTTTCAAAATGTTGTCTGACAGGGTGATATGGAGCAAACACAGTTACATATCGGGCACCCACGGTGTGAGCACAACACCATTTTGTGCTAGTATCCAGGCACGAGTGAGTGGGTACTAAATGTAAACACAGCCTAATAGTTATTTAACAACATGTCTTTTACCTCTGCAGTAAGCTCTTTCTCCGTCTGCACCAAAAAAGATAGGTTTGCACTTATAGGACACTACACAGCGCTCCGCTTCATTCGTGAAACAAGCAGATTTTTCACAGGGGTTGAAATGACAAACTTGTTCTGGAGGAACAGAAAGCACAACTGCATCTCCTGCAATAATGAAAAATGTATATTTTGTTTTGCCTAGTTCGTTAATCGATCTCTTCTAGGCGTAAGCCTTGAAGTGGAATTTCTGATCTACAACCAAACAGAGTTGACGAGAATGTAGTTTTTACTCATAAAAAATTTAAACCAGTGCTCCATTTTATGTCAAAGAATTGTCCAACTCGCGCGCCCAGACGAAAATAAACAATATGAAAATATAGATCTACGTGGCATCAGGAATTATGCTGCAAATAAAGACGTCCGGAAAGACGGACCTTGCTACACAATTTTTGGAAATACAACTTCTATATCAAGGTTCAAAGAACGAGACCTTAACAACCAGTATGTCAAAATAAGTCATGACCAGAGTGTCAACAGAAAGTTTTTAACTCTTACCTTTGCATGACTCGATAATTCTTCCATTCGTGTTAAAGAAAACTGGTTTGCATTCGGAGTCGCTTACGCACATGGTTGTGGGAGTGGTTAAACATTTAGCCACCTTGCAAGGATGATAGCCGCACATTTCAACTGGGTCCTTCCGAATGAGGAAGTTCTCGTCTGAGGTTAAAAAGACAAAAAATCACTGGAGTTAGCAATATACTTGCTGAATGAACGAATTTCACTTTCTGTGAATGTAACCGAAAATGCAGTCGAACCTTTAACAACAGCCACCTCCCCTCAGCGTTCACGTATTCTTATGGTTCACAAATTCCGCTCGATTTCCGCAGCACTCCATAATAATCATTTAATCGCTAAAGGGCGTTCCAAGTTGCCAATGCCAAAAAAATCTTAACAAGGGCCATCTAACTCCACTACTAAAAAACAGCCACCTATCCACAAAGGCAACTAAAAAGGGTCGCAAACTGCCAAAATAACCTCTCCACTAAGGCCGGCCATGCAAGTCCCTCTCCAGTTAAAACTTACCCCTCTTCCTATTCAAGGAGTATCCTCTTTTTTCTCTTAAGGTTAGGCTGCAGTATTTTACCCGTCAAGTGGTTTGGTGTTGGAGAAAAAATGTACACTCACCTGGACAACTGTGTTTGTTGCATCGTTTCCTTTGAACGCGTGGTCCGTGGCAGCCGTGTGAAGGTTTTCGACATCTGCGTCTTCTTTTTTTCACTCCGCCACCACACGAATGGGAGCATCTACTAAATGAAGACCACGGACCAAATCCCAGCGTTGCTGAAACAAGGGCCAACGACAACTGGTTAGTAAACTATCGTTCAAAAATAATTCTCCATATGAAACCTATAGCTAGTAAAAAAAATTCTAATGATGCATCATGCCGCTTGAACTTATTCTTGTACCGTATGTGTAAACCAGGCCGTAGTAAACGTGACTTACATTTACAATGTTTCCTAGGGCATTTCATCTCCTGAACAAGTGGCCCTGCGCACGGTTTTCCCCCATTTGCTGGTGGTGGGTTGTTACACTTCCGCGTTCTTTTTCTTTTTGATTTCCCACAGTATCGACACACAGACCACGAGGACCACTCTGACATACCACCGTCAACTGCAACGTATAATGCGACTAGTCTTTCAAAATCTTTACTCTTATTACACCTTTGAGTTGTGTTAGACTAAGGGTGAATGTATTTTTTCCTTTTTTAAGAATTGTGCTAAAGTATTGCCTTTTTATTATGGCCTTCAGGTCTGGATCACAATGAAAATGAGTTTCAGGTGAGTGTAAAGATGTCACTATATTTGGCGAATTGATCAGTTCTACTTATGTAAACATTAACTTGAGACTGGAGTTTGTTGAAGCGAGCCCGGCCTTTTGCCTACCCCTCAAATGAATTAATTTGGATTAATTTGAGGGGTTGGCAGAAGGCCGGGCTCGCCTCAACAAACTCCAATCTTAAGTTACTGTTTACTTAAGTTGAACTGATCGATTCGCCAAATAAACTGACATCTTTAATATACATATATGTCCGTGAAAACGTTAGTGCCACACTAAAGTATGTAGCTCCGTAGCTTTATAAAACGTCACAAATTTCAAAAAAGAAAAGCATTTATGACTGAAGAGTTCAGCTTACCAATAACAGAAAGTAATAAAAAGACAAAATCCCCGCAAACATGTTGTCTATCATATCTTACGTTTACCTGGACATTTCTGTGATGCGCATGGTCTTGCTTGCATCCTCTGACCCACGCAGTCTTTTCCATTACCCTGTGGGGGAGGGTTAGTACAGTAACGCTGCCGGGTACTAACCGCGTTTGTGTTGCAGGTTTTGCTACAAGCTGACCATGCTGTCCAACCAGTTAATCCTCCATCCACTGACGACAAAACACAAAGGGGTCATGTTCAACCATAAAAATGTCGGGTAGTAAGAACCTAATAGTTTTTGGCGCTTTAGGTCATACACGAAGAGTAAAGTATGTTAGAAAGGGAGCGAATAAACTTCTGTTTCTTGTGGGTTTTTAATTTTATGTTTCAACGAAAAGATAATGTTGGCTCTTCTCGATCAGAAATTCAAGCTGGGACAAAGTTGCATGTAAATTAACTGATAAATACAGAAGTACTGAATTAAAGTCTCGACTACAAGTCAGCTTCGCAACTTAGATTGCAATTAGCATAGTTACATTCCTTTTCAACCAATTTCATTTCCTCTTTTGGAAGGTGAAAACGTACCTGGGCATTTCACCAACTGGCATGGCTTAGTCTGTTTGTACAGTCCCTGACAACCCGTCTTCACTTTGCAGGTTCGTTCACGTGACATCACAGCTTTGGGCGAACACGTGGCGGAACACTTTGACCAAGGCGACCAATTGGAATAGCCTGAATCTGAAGATGAGTTAACCCCTGATGAATTTGATGAGGTGTTTGGAGGTTGAGATGGTTGAGGATTTGAATTAGCTGCTATTGAGACTGGTTCGTTCAATGTATCTAATGTGTCACTTAAAGCTGTCAGAAAATGAGAGGAAAGCAATATATTAGTGAAAGATAATGAATGGAAAGGCGAACTGTGAACAAAACTGTAAGTAAGTCATTGCCTAGTAACTTTAAAGAGGAAGTATCATAATAATCTCCGACTTCTGGCTCTTCTGTAAGCGACCATCCGAAATGTGAAGATTTAGATGTCGCTTACAAGAATCGAACAACTGGGAGTCTGTTCCGAGAAGAATTCCAAACACATCTTCTGTTTGGAAAAAAATCATTGAAAGCAATTTCTTAGTACCAACGTGTGAAGTTCCATGTTGTACTAAAAATTGTTCGCATACTGTGATCACTGTTGTATATACTGAAAACGTAGATGTCAGATCATGAGTAAAGTGGTTTCTTACCTCAAGAGGAAAGAAACGATGGAACATTACAGAACCGTGACCACAAAAAGTGGTCGCAGTCGTCTACGAGAACTTAACTACAGGGCTTGTAAGCGAAGATTCTGGTGCTTTTTATCGGATAGGTATCGTTTATGGGAGGGGTTCGCACGTGGGGGTTCGACATTATGCTAGATTTAGGAAGGCAGGGCGAGATAAACAAGCTAAACAAGAGAGACCCAAATCAATTCGGTCTCAAAGGCGGAAGCAAACTCAATTTTCCGACTGTAACTTGACATTATTTTTGCCCGACTTTTTTTAACAGTTTCCATGTAGTACTCTAGTAAAGAGAATAACTACACTACAGTAATACTACTACCCTCGATGGAATACAAAACGTCGGACTCCTCCCTTCCCAGGGAGAAACCGATAAGCATTTATAGATATCAAATTCTTCACTAAAGATGTTGTGATTGTTTTTCCCTCACAAATCCCCCCCCCCTTCAGTAGAAAAGAGACGCTTCGTTTTTTCTTTTTTGGTCACTCACCTTTTATGAGGGTATTGTTAGGCCTGACTGCTGCTTGTTCAGGACATAAAGGCACATTACACAGCATCTTTTCAATATTCGAACCAATGCACAGCTTTCCATCATTTTCCATCAGAGAGAACGAACACGTCTTCTCGCGTTTGCGGTAAGAGCCGCTACCACAAGTCTTTGAACATTCAGACCAAGGGCTCCAATCGAATTCATTCTGCACGGAGACTGTCTCAAAAGTAACGGTATTAATGTCATTTTAAGGTTTGGTCAGTTTCCTCCAATCGCAATTTTTCTGATCAGTGGGTATCATTCAGTTTAGAGATGTATTTGCATTCGGAGGAGCTAAACGTAGTGGCAGTGACAGAGAATATGTAAATACTTTCCTAACGTCTGAAATAGCCTGCGTAGCAGGCTCTCGCGCGCTCTATATAAAACTAACCAAAAAAAACTAACCGGCTTCTGCCACGAAGGCTATGTCTGAAAATGATATAATGACAGAAATATATGGAGACCCTTTTAGCATTTCGGGAACAAAACGTACGTATGTTATGTTCACTCTCTTATCATGGGGAAAAAAAATTTCATCGACCAAACATGTGGAACTTACCCTCGAAGGTTGCAGATGTTTTTTCAATTTAGCCCCTCCCACAGTTTATCTCTTCCACACAGTAAAACAATTAATGGGAAAATGATATGGTTGCATCCTACTTGAGACAAATGAGAACCTGCCTGAAAGAATTAAATTCCAATTCCATCTTGCGTAAATCACAATTTAAATAGAAAATTACACTCACTGTTATGCGAGCTCTTTCCATTAATCTCTAAATCTTCACTCAAAGCGAGATCATCAGGACATTTTGGAAGAAAACACGGTTTAACTTCTGATGTGGAGCCAGTGCAGCTCTGACTGCTCGAGTTAAAACAGGATCGTTTACGCACGCGCAGTACATTTGAACCACAGGTTTTTGAACAAGGAGATCTGGAGGAACAGAAAGCACAACTGCATCTCCTGCAATAATGAAAAATGTATATTTTGTTTTGCCTAGTTCGTTAATCGATCTCTTCTAGGCGTAAGCCTTGAAGTGGAATTTCTGATCTACAACCAAACAGGGTTGACGAGAATGTAGTTTTTATTCATAAAAAATTTAAACCAATGCTCCATTTTATTTCAAAGAGTTGTCCAACCCGCGCGCCCAGCCGAAAATAAACAACATGAAAAGATAGATCTACGTGGCATCAGGAATTATGCTGCAAATAAAGACGTCCGGAAAGGCGGACCTTGCTACAGAATGTTTGGAAATACAACTTCTATATCTAGGTTCAAAGAACAAAATCTTAACAACCAGTCTGTCAAAATAAGTCATGACCAGAGTGTCCATAGAAAGTTTTAAACTCTTACCTTTGCATGACTCGATAATTCTTCCATTCGTGTTAAAGAAAACTGGTTTGCATTCGGAGTCGCTTACGCACATGGTTGTGGGAGTGGTTAAACATTTGGCCACCTTGCAAGGATGATAGCCGCACATTTCAACTGGGTCCTTCCGAATGAGGAAGTTCTCGTCTGAGGTTAGAAAGAAAAAAATCACTGGAATTCGCAATATACTTGTTAAATGAACGAAATTCCGCTCGATTTCCACAACACTCCATAATTATCAATTAATCGCTAAAGGGCGCTCCAAACTACCAAAAAACTCTTAACAAGGGCCATCTAACGCCACTACTAAAAAAACAGTCACCTATCCACAAAGCCAACTAAAAAGGGTCGCAAACTGCCAAAATAACGTCTCCACTAAGGCCGCCCATGCAAGTCCACCTCCAGTTAAAACTTACCACTCGTTCTATTCAAGGAGTATCCTCTTTTAGGATGAAGGTTGGGCTGCAGTATTTTACCCGTCAAGTGGTTTGGTGTTGGAGAAAAAATGTACACTCACCTGGACAACTGTGTTCGTTGCATCGTTTCCTTTGAACGCGTGGTCCGTGGCAGCCGTGTGAAGGTTTTCGACATCTGCGTCTTCTTTTTTTCACTCCGCCACCACACGAATGGGAGCATCTACTAAATGAAGACCACGGACCAAATCTAGGGGTTATTGCACGAGCCACATATTAACGAAGAGTACTTACAGTTCTGTTTTGTTTTTTGAGCCCTTGTTACCAGGCTTTATCCAGTAAAACTTGGCAGGGCCGTGCTTTGACACAAATGATATCTCAGAGGCCATCCCGTTGATCATGCCTTTATGAAATGACTCATCTTTTAAATGAACTGCCCTATTTTCATCAGTTTTATTGTCTTTGTTATTGTGACTTGTATCCTTCATTAATCTGGGTACGTCTTGCTTTGAGACTGCATCTTCATCATCGACATCGTCCTCCTCGTCCACGTGGCTACTTTTGTGTAATTTATGTTTTTTATGTCTATGCCCATGGCTTATTTTTTCATCATCGCCATCATTATCACTATCATCATCATCATAGCTTTCATCATCGTCGTCATTATCATGATCTTCGTGGGCATCGTCTTTGTTGTCCTCATCTTCATCGTCGTAATTTTCTTTTTCTGACACGTCCTCTACATCCGGGATATCATCATTGTCCGAGTCATCTTTCGGGTCATCTTCATCATCGTCCTCTTTAAAGTGAACAGTAAAAATGTATTAGTTCAGTGGTCCTGCTAGCACCCAGCTCTTGTTTCAGAAGCACTGAGAAGTTGACTGCACTTCGCACTCCCCCATGTAAGAGTTTTAACGTATTACTCTACTACTAGGTTATCTTATAGATGAAGGCGGTACTAGGCGCAAAAGGACTTCCCGGAAGAACTTCTGGGTGTGAGTTAATTGTCCAATGGAGGTTCAGAGATGTTAGTCTGCATCAAACCGCCAAAGCTACCTTGTTCCGTCTATTATAATTATTGTTTAGTAGGTTTTTCTCTTTTTATTTGTCAACAAGAATTTGCAGTTGCTTATTTCTAACTTGGAGGAGGCTAGAGATCAAGGAGTGCCTTATTATTCGTTATTGATAAAACATTATTTTGACGGAAAATGTAAGAATATTTCTTATAATCAAATTATAGAGCAGAACTTGCCAGAACAGTGTGCGTATTGATCAAATGTCTCTATAAATCTAGTGCACACCTAGGCATATTTGCCTCCGAGTTAACAAAGTTTTAAACCGTTCCCAAAGCTGTTTTTCCAGCATTATATGTAATACAGAAAGATATTTTAGTTTCCTGTCCATTTTAATTCAATTTTATCGCTCGCTCTAGTCGACTTTATTTTGTGAACCAAATTGCACTGAAAGCTGTTTTACCGTCAGTTTTCATCACGAGACCAGGCGGAATAAAATGAGTCGATGATGACTTATGTAAAGCAACGGTTCGGGCCCAGTTTGATGTTTTATTCTTTTTCATCTTTGTACAACTTTGCCAGTGTATTAATGCTTGTTATTTACCTACGCATTCGTCCAGTATTCGTTCAGTATTGGTAATAAAGGTCGGTTTACACTGAGCGTCAGCGACACAATGAGCTGTCAAGTCAACTTTACATGCCTTTTCAAAGCATGGGTCGAAGCCGCATATCGTAGTGGCGGGTACTGTTAAGATGCCTGTTAGTTTAAAGAAGAAAGTCGCTGAGTGGTACAAAAATGATAATGAACTATGCTGGCAAAAAAGGTGGAGGGTTTACTTTGTGCCCGAGTACGGTAATAGCTGGGTACCAATGGGCCCAATACCTAGAACACTCTTTTTATGGTACCCACGCCCGACGCTCGTGTACAAAGTCGAGACCTTGTATACTATTTTCATACTCCTAACTTCCTTCTCACTCACGTTTCAAAATGGTGTCTGACAGGGTGATATGGAGCAAACACAGTTACATATCGGGCACCCACGGTGTGAGCACAACACCATTTTGTGCTAGTACCCAGGCACGAGTGAGTGGGCACTAAATGTAAACACAGCCTAATAGTTATTTAACATGTCTTTTACCTCTGCAGTAAGCTCTTTCTCCGTCTGCACCAAAAAAGATAGGCTTGCACTTATAGGACACTACACAGCGCTCCGCTTCATTCGTGAAACAAGCAGATTTTTCACAGGGGTTGAAATGACAAACTTGTTCTGGAGGAACAGAAAGCACAACTGCATCTCCTGCAATAATGAAAAATGTATATTTTGTTTTGCCTAGTTCGTTAATCGATCTCTTCTAGGCGTAAGCCTTGAAGTGGAATTTCTGATCTACAACCAAACAGGGTTGACGAGAATGTAGTTTTTATTCATAAAAAATTTAAACCAATGCTCCATTTTATTTCAAAGAGTTGTCCAACCCGCGCGCCCAGCCGAAAATAAACAACATGAAAAGATAGATCTACGTGGCATCAGGAATTATGCTGCAAATAAAGACGTCCGGAAAGGCGGACCTTGCTACAGAATGTTTGGAAATACAACTTCTATATCTAGGTTCAAAGAACAAAATCTTAACAACCAGTCTGTCAAAATAAGTCATGACCAGAGTGTCCATAGAAAGTTTTAAACTCTTACCTTTGCATGACTCGATAATTCTTCCATTCGTGTTAAAGAAAACTGGTTTGCATTCGGAGTCGCTTACGCACATGGTTGTGGGAGTGGTTAAACATTTGGCCACCTTGCAAGGATGATAGCCGCACATTTCAACTGGGTCCTTCCGAATGAGGAAGTTCTCGTCTGAGGTTAGAAAGAAAAAAATCACTGGAATTCGCAATATACTTGTTAAATGAACGAAATTCCGCTCGATTTCCACAACACTCCATAATTATCAATTAATCGCTAAAGGGCGCTCCAAACTACCAAAAAACTCTTAACAAGGGCCATCTAACGCCACTACTAAAAAAACAGTCACCTATCCACAAAGCCAACTAAAAAGGGTCGCAAACTGCCAAAATAACGTCTCCACTAAGGCCGCCCATGCAAGTCCACCTCCAGTTAAAACTTACCACTCGTTCTATTCAAGGAGTATCCTCTTTTAGGATGAAGGTTGGGCTGCAGTATTTTACCCGTCAAGTGGTTTGGTGTTGGAGAAAAAATGTACACTCACCTGGACAACTGTGTTCGTTGCATCGTTTCCTTTGAACGCGTGGTCCGTGGCAGCCGTGTGAAGGTTTTCGACATCTGCGTCTTCTTTTTTTCACTCCGCCACCACACGAATGGGAGCATCTACTAAATGAAGACCACGGACCAAATCCCAGTGTTGCTGAAACAAGGGCCAACCGACAACTGGTTAGTAAACTATCGTTCAAAAATAATTCTCCATATGAAACCTATAGCTAGTAAAAAAATTCTAATGATGCGTCATGCCGCTTGAACTTATTCTTGTACCGTATGTGTAAACCAGGCCGTAGTAAACGTGACTTACATTTACAATGTTTCCTAGGGCATTTCATCTCCTGAACAAGTGGCCCTGCGCACGGTTTTCCCCCATTTGCTGGTGGTGGGTTGTTACACTTCCGCGTTCTTTTTCTTTTTGATTTCCCACAGTATCGACACACAGACCACGAGGACCACTCTGACATACCACCGTCAACTGCAACGTATAATGCGACTAGTCTTTCAAAATCTTTACTCTTATTACACCTTTGAGTTGTGTTAGACTAAGGGTGAATGTATTTTTTCCTTTTTTAAGAATTGTGCTAAAGTATTGCCTTTTTATTATGGCCTTCAGGTCTGGATCACAATGAAAATGAGTTTCAGGTGAGTGTAAAGATGTCACTATATTTGGCGAATTGATCAGTTCTACTTATGTAAACATTAACTTGAGACTGGAGTTTGTTGAAGCGAGCCCGGCCTTTTGCCTACCCCTCAAATGAATTAATTTGGATTAATTTGAGGGGTTGGCAGAAGGCCGGGCTCGCCTCAACAAACTCCAATCTTAAGTTACTGTTTACTTAAGTTGAACTGATCGATTCGCCAAATAAACTGACATCTTTAATATACATATATGTCCGTGAAAACGTTAGTGCCACACTAAAGTATGTAGCTCCGTAGCTTTATAAAACGTCACAAATTTCAAAAAAGAAAAGCATTTATGACTGAAGAGTTCAGCTTACCAATAACAGAAAGTAATAAAAAGACAAAATCCCCGCAAACATGTTGTCTATCATATCTTACGTTTACCTGGACATTTCTGTGATGCGCATGGTCTTGCTTGCATCCTCTGACCCACGCAGTCTTTTCCATTACCCTGTGGGGGAGGGTTAGTACAGTAACGCTGCCGGGTACTAACCGCGTTTGTGTTGCAGGTTTTGCTACAAGCTGACCATGCTGTCCAACCAGTTAATCCTCCATCCACTGACGACAAAACACAAAGGGGTCATGTTCAACCATAAAAATGTCGGGTAGTAAGAACCTAATAGTTTTTGGCGCTTTAGGTCATACACGAAGAGTAAAGTCTGTTAGAAAGGGAGCGAATAACCTTCTGTTTCTTGTGGGTTTTTGATTTTATGTTTCAACGAAAAGATAATGTTGGCTTTTCTCGATCAGAAATTCCAGCTGAGACAAAGTTTCACGTAAATTAACTGATAAATACAGAAGTACTGAATTAAATTCTCGACTACAAGTCAGCTTCGCAACTTAGATTACAATTAGCATAGTTACATTCCTTTTCAACCAATTTCATTTCCTCTTTTGGAAGGTGAAGACGTACCTGGGCATTTGACCAACTGGCATGGCTTAGTCTGTTTGTACAGTCCCTGACAACCCGTCTTCACTTTGCAAGTTCGTTCACGTGACATCACAGCTTTGGGCGAACACGTGGCGGAACACTTTGACCAAGGCGACCAATCGGAATAGCCTGAATCTGAATATGAGTTAACCGCTGATGAATTTGATGCGGTGATTGGAAGCTGAGATGGTTGAGGATTTGAATTAGCTGCTATTGAGACTGGTTCGTTCAATGTATCTAATGTGTCACTTAAAGCTGTCAGAAAATGAGAAAATATTAGTGAAAGATAATGAATGGAAAGACGAACTGTGAACACAACTGTAAGTAAGTCATTGCCTAGTAACTTTAAAGCGGAAGTATCATAATAATCTCCGACTTCTGGCTCTCCTGTAAGCGACCATCCGAAATGTGAAGATTTAGATGTCGCTTACAAGAATCGAACAACTGAGAGTCTGTTCCGAGAAGAATTCCAAACACATCTTCTGTTTGGAAAAAAATTATTGAAAGCAATTTCTTAGTACCAACGTGTGAAGTTCCATGTTGTACTAAAAATTGTTCGCATACTGTGATCAGTGTAGTATATACTGAAAACGTAGATGTCAGATCATGAGTCAAGTGGTTTCTTACCTCAAGAGGAAAGAAACGATGGAACATTACAGAACCTTGACCACAAAAAGTGGTCGCAGTCGTCTACGAGAACTTAACTACAGGGCTTGTAAGCGAAGATTCTGGTGCTTTTTATCGGCTAGGTATCGTTTATCGGAGGGGGTCGCACGTGGGGGTTCGACATTATGCTAGAATTAGGAAGGCAGGGCGAGATAAACAAGCTAAACAAGAGAGACCCAAATCAATTCGGTCTCAAAGGCGGAAGCAAACTCAATTTGCCGACTATAACTTGACGTTATTTTTGCCCGACTTTTTTTAACAGTTTCCATGTAGTACTCTAGTAAAGAGAATAACTACACTACAGTAATACTACTAGCCTCGATGGAATACAAAACGTCGGACTTCTCCCTTCCAAGGGAGAAACCGATAAGCATTTATAGAAATCAAATTCTTCACTAAGGATGTTGTGATTGTTTTTCTCTGACAAATCCCCCCCTTCAGTAGAAAAGAGACGCTTCGTTTTTTCTTTTTTGGTCACTCACCTTTTATGAGGGTATTGTTAGGCCTGCCTACTGCTTGCTCAGGACATAAAGGGACATTACACGGCATCTTTTCAATATTCGAACCAATGCACAGCTTTCCACCATCTTCCATCAGAGAGAACGAACACGTCTTCTCGCGTTTGCGGTAAGAGCCACTACCACAAGTCTTAGAACATTCGGACCAAGGGCTCCAATCGAATTCATTCTTCAAAGAGACTGTCTCAAAAGTAACGGTATTAATGTCATTTTAAGGTTCGGTCAGTTTCCTCCAATCGCAATTTTTCTGATCAGTGGGTATCATTCAGTTTAGAGATGTATTTACATTCGGAGGAGCTAAACGTAGTGGCAGTGACAGAGAATATGTAAATACTTTCCTAACGTCTGAAATAGCCTGCGTAGCAGGCTCTCGCGCGCTCTATATAAAACTAACCAAAAAAAACTAACCGGTGCCTGCCACGAAGGCTATGTCTGAAAATGATATAATAACAGTATTGTACGGAGACCATTTTAGCATTTCGGGAACAAAACGTATGTTGAGGTAATTTTTTCACTCTCTTATCATGGGGAAAAAAGATTTCTTCGACCAAACATGTAGAACTCACCCTCGAAGGTTGCAGATGTTTTGAGGCTCAATTTATCCCCTCCCACAGTTTATCTCTTCCACACAGTAAAACAATTAATGGGAAAAAGAATATGGTTGCATCCTACTTGAGACAAATGAGAACCTGCCTGAAATAATTAAGTTCCAATTCCATCTTGCATAAATCGCAATTTAAATAGAAAATTACACTCACTGTTATGCGAGCTCTTTCCATTAATCCCTAAATCTTCACTCAAAGCGAGATCGTCAGGACATTTTGGAAGAAAACACGGTTTAACTTCTGATGTGGAGCCAGTGCAGCTCTGACTGCTCGAGTTAAAACAGGATCGTTTACGCACGCGCAGTACATTTGAACCACAGGTTTTTGAACAAGGAGANGAACCTGCCTGAAATAATTAAGTTCCAATTCCATCTTGCATAAATCGCAATTTAAATAGAAAATTACACTCACTGTTATGCGAGCTCTTTCCATTAATCCCTAAATCTTCACTCAAAGCGAGATCGTCAGGACATTTTGGAAGAAAACACGGTTTAACTTCTGATGTGGAGCCAGTGCAGCTCTGACTGCTCGAGTTAAAACAGGATCGTTTACGCACGCGCAGTACATTTGAACCACAGGTTTTTGAACAAGGAGACCACGGGCCCCACTCAGTGAATCCATCGGTAGAATTTCTTGTGGGTTTAACTGCAAAACATAATGATCCAGGAAAATGGGTGTTGGCATTTGTTCAAGCATGCTTGTTAATAAAATACACAGATATTTATACAAAGATGTTGGGTGAGCCATGAAAGGTACCAATAGACAGAGCAGAGAGACAGGGTATTTCCCATCCTAGATAGAAAACGGATTTTTATAACAGTAATTTGAGTCATCCATATACAACGTCATCGATTTAGGAGCAAAAATGTTACCTGTTAGCTGTCTTAGGAGTAAAAGGGAGTTAAGCCCTTAGGAAATGCGAACCGTAATGGAGTTCTAACCTTTTCTTGAATTTACAACTTCGTAAAACACTTTGCTCGTATCATAAAAATCCAGTTTAGGGAGGCAAGGAGACTTCAGGCAGTGTTGCCTTTCCGCATATCTCCCCTCGCAGTCTTCTCCACCGTACCTCGGGGGAGGGTTGGTGCAAGTTCTCTCGCGCTTCCGGTAAGAATCAGAACCACAAGTTTTGGAGCATTCAGACCAGTCACTCCATGGTGTAAACTGGCCGTCCACTTGAAATAAGAAAAAGTTAGGTCAAAAATGAGTCAATGACTGTGAAAACGAACCTTTAACTCATACACAAATAAGTTGCATCTGTGGGCTGGGCGAAGTAGGTGACCTCAACTATCTCCTCCTATTTCCACGAATCCCCCCGCAGGGCAAGGGATATTTTTCTATCTCAGAGATACCCAAAGGATCATATCAAAAGAAGGCACTATGAAGAGCGATGCTCATGCAGTAACAAACGTTGGAACCATCGACTAAAGATTTCAAGTCCAAAGAAGAACGTTACCAAAATTACGTCAAAATTTACATTATTACTCTTTGCCGTTACTCCGTTGAGGCCTTGATATTGGAATGTATGCATGTTTTTTCAAAGTAATAGTCGCCAATAGGCACTTTTTCGTTAAAACCAATTACCTGGGCATCTTTGAATGCGACAGCGTCTGGTCTGTACTGTAGGTCCTAGACACGAACGGTCGACACCCATTGCATTATAACTGCTTAAACATGAACGCGTTCGCGTTCGAATTCCACGTCCACATGAAGCACTGCAACTCGTCCACTCACTCCAAGGTGTGAACCCCACATTCTCGTTACTAACTTGCAAGTGAATAGTGTTCCCACCATTTTCGTAGGTTTCCTGTGGTCCTCGTGGCATTGTCCTCATACCGGGTAGCATGTTTGGTCGAAGAGAGCCTGGTAAAAAGGCAGACCCGTGTGGTGGTCCCATAAACTCTTTAAACCCGAGCATGTTCGAAAAGTTAGGAGTACTTTGCTGCATGTTTAGAAGTGACTGCACATCTCCCATATCCTGCTCGACACTTGCCAATCCACTGTACCTGGAGGGAGTCCCCTCATTGACGCTGGTTTTAGTTGGAGCGCTTTGCTGCTTGCTTGCCATCCCCTCGATTAAAGGCGTTGCAGAAAGAGTTTTGAAAATGATCCGTTTGTTTGTTTTTGACTTTTGCAAACCCGGCCAAACCTTCGTGGTCTTTGAGGCTGCTGTAGCTGTTAAAGAAAATGACTAGACGAGTTCCCCTTTTAACAATACAATTGATACCTCTCGTCCTTTGTCATAAAAACCATTTTAACAATTTTTAGCCATAATTATCACTTTTAAGGGGCTTGGGCCATGGCTCATTGATTCTCCATATTTAAAGCTCTCAAGTTATAAGTACAGTCCTGGTCCTGGTGGATAATGCAATTGGTGGAATATTTGACCAGCGAAAAGCGTCATTCACTGGATACCCTAACATACACTATCAATACCATACAATTTATTACATCATTAACACTATGCCCCTGTAGTTTTTCAGGTTGGGCCGCTTACCATAAACGCCGTTCATCCAATCAGCCTTCAAACTAGCAAGTCTTTTTTTAACAATTATCACAGGAACTTGTAACATTAATGTTTGTGCATTTCCCTACGCTTTCTTAATATTCGTTCAAAATATTTTACTCCTATTTTCCTGTTCCTATTTCAGGATATAAACGGATGCTTTTCTTCCAGATACTCTTCAAAAAGTAGTGGTTTTCCTTTGAATGGTGTTTTTATGCTTATTTTTCCCTTCTTTGAGACAATAATCTTGCTATTTTGATGAACTGAACTTTTTGCAATTTTCTTGCCTAAAGAACTGAGCCGACGTATCACTGTCTTTTCCTGGCGTCAGTCAGTCCGTGTTTCAGTTTACTAAACATTTATTTTTCCCAAATTTGGTCAATGCTCGCTGGTTATGAAGAAGTAGCCCTGAGGCTAAAGGCAATAAGGAAAGAAAGCAACTTTCGTGCTCTTAACCTACCGCCTTTTAAGAAAAATTTTGAGATATCTTTTTCTAATTTTAAGAAAATTATTTACCAGAAGTATGTGGACATTCCTGGGATCTACAATATTCAACTTCAAATCTCCAACCGGAACAATCTTTCCCTCCGTAAGCTGGAGGAGGGTTCGTGCAAAGACGCATGCGCATGCGTACTGCTTTAGGACCGCAGGTCTCTGAGCATGCAGACCACTCCGTCCACTTGGTAAAGCCACCGTAAACTACGACAATCAAACAACACCAAATCGTCAATTATAAAAAGTAAAATGTTAGTTTCTAGTAAAATTGCCAACCTGCCCCTCCCTTACCCAGTGTTAACCCTAGCTTCTTGCTGAGGGTTAATTTTAGGTTAGGGGAGGGGAAGGTGGGCAGCTTCCCACCAACCCCTCCTGTAACCCACTGTTGATACTAAATTCTCAATAAAGGCAAAATGTTGGGTTAGGGGGGGGGGATAGGTGTATGGGCTGTTTCCCAGGTTCGTCAATACAATTTAAAATGGCCTTTCAGTGCCCTTTCGAAGCCACTTGATAAAAATCTTCATTGCTCATTTCTCTTTGAGCAAGATTAGCAAAATGCGTAACGAACGTTACCAATTTCCTCTTAATTGCCAAGTGCCTGTTCCACATGCAAGTAACATATCACGAGATTACGTCACTTATAAACTACAGTCAGTAGAAGAACGAGCATCTCAACGATTTCAGTATTGCTTTATTCAGTGTTAACAATTAATTCTTGATTTACTGCTTCAAGTCACAATCTTAGTCTGTAATATAAATCCATGATAGTTAATTCGTTGCTTAAGTGAGAGGGTACGGGATCTTTGAGTTTATTTCAGTGGAAAACCTTACTTGGGCAGTTTTTGGGGACATCGCAGGGTACCATCTGGTGGTTCCATCCTGGGCATTTTACAAAACTGTCTGATGATGATTTTTCAATGCAATATCTCGAGCGTGTCTTCATGCTCCCGTTCCCACAAGTCTTTGAACACTTTGACCATGCACTCCACATTAAGTTTGAATCTAAGCAAATGTAAATGACCACAGTCAGATGATACCTTTGTGATAAGAAAAGTTCTGCGCGATGTGATTAGCTTACTCTGAGAATTTTAATCCATCTAAACCATAACAAATCAAACAGGGGTTATTCTAGTAATTTAAGAAGGTATTGTTCAACACGTACCGATAAAAATCTTCAAAACTGAATTTAAATAATGTTGACCTGTCTGATATGTTACAATAAATGAAGAATGACACCGATAAATATTAATCACGGAAGAAGAGAGAAATATGTAAAAGCTCAACTATTTATTAACCAGAAAGGACTGCAAACGAATATGCCGAAGAACAAAGTCTATTAAGACCTGACCAGCAAAAATAACAAGTACACATAACAAATTCTGAAGACAGAATACTGTATGTATGTTGGGACCGTAGATCTATCTTATAGATCTGATATAATGTAATTTTGCTTAGTTTTGTCCATGTTTTTGAGGTTGGTTTTGGTCAATCCTTTATATTTTCTTTGCGAGACAACAACTTGACACTTGGACTCTTGTCCTTTAGGATGTACGTGATATGGCGTGATTCTGTGGGTGTTGAGAGTTCTAGGTTAGGGCTTAAATCAGAGTGCACGGGGTTATTTTCCAACAGAGCTCCTCTCTCTGTCTGTTACGCCATACTGATGAGCTACAATGATAGCGAAACAGCTGTCTATGGTTTGAGTTCTCGGTGTCTTGCACAGTTAATTTTCACGTAGTACGATCAGTATTGCAGTGTTCTGTTTTCACAATTTAATATGTCTATTTATTAACACATTACTTTACCAATATTCTGTTTATTTTTTAAACGTTTTGACGTTTTGTGCTTAAAAAACGTTTTTATTGTTTGCTGACTGTAGATCTCACTCATTCTTTCTTCCATTTCAAATTTGCAGTCTTGAAAGTAATTGAAGAAAGAGTCAGTTCTTTGAGTTGTTCTTACCATTCTTGCTAAAATCACTTGCAATATTATTTACTATGTTCTTTTCCTTAGAACCGTGATCCGGAAGGTCTGCAATGGTTTCTATCGCTCCTTCCCTCGCAATGCCTGGCTTCTCATCAATAGACCTTTTAAATGTCCCCGCCATTGGCCTGAAAAGACTTTCCACTTCTTTTTCATCAGCGCTGTCAATCTTTTCCAACTCTTTTAAATCGTTTTGGTCACCGCTGTTCACACTTCGTAGCACTGATGCGAGCTGATTTTGGTCGTCAGTACCAAAATTTGTCAATTCCTTGTAATCAGAATTCAAGACTTTGCCTTCAGGGGTCAAATCACGAAAAACACTGTCTTTGATACTGTCTGCCGTGCGTTGTTTCATTGCATCAAATTCTTCATCCTGGCGACTAGAACTGTGAATAAACTCTCTCAGTCTCTCTTGACTTTTTTCAAGAGACCCGTCGTCACTACTATCGTCTTTCGGAAACACACTCTTGAATTGGTTTTGTAGAATGGTTCTTGAACTGATTGGCTCTTCCGGATGATCCATCATCTTGTTCAATACAGGATCATCCATTGCCTGCACTGCACCCAAGTAGGTCAAATCATGTTGTCTTTCTTGTATCAAGGCGCGAGACAACTGCTTCTCAAATTCAGGGCTTCGAAACGTACCATCGTTAAATTCAGAGCTGAATTCTCCTAAATCTCTTTTCTCTGGTAAAATTTTCTTCCTTGAATGGAATGCCTTGTTGGGCTTCTTTCGATGTGCGCCTGTATGTCGTTTTACACCGATTTCGACACCTACTATCTGAAACATGTTTTTAATTCTGCTTACATCGTCCGCTTGAACGGAATTTACATAATTCAGGTCACCTTCACTTTCTTTTCGCAGCGTTTCAAGGATTAAACCTTGAGCATCCAAGTGTCCTACATCATCCAATGATACAACGTCTCCATTAAGAAGTTTGTTCTCTTTCATGACAATAGGTTCGGCCATTATGGCGTCGCTTAACTTACTACCGTGAGAAAGGGTACCCTTTTTCTGGAATTCCTTTTTACTTATTTCATTCCCCATTTTTTCCGGACTCCTTTTGACGTCTAATCGCCGCTGTGTGTTCCTGTAACCCTTGTAATTACCTTTACCTGCTGATTGTTTCTTATTTTTGAACGAACGCTCGAATGCATAACTAGGGTCTTGTTCGTCACATGGAAATGACTCCAATCCTTTGACATTTCTTTGATCTCCTTCGTAGTCCTTCAAGATAACTTTTGAAATATCTTCCTGCACTTTTGGACTCAGATCTCGTAATTGTTCCAAGTCACTGTTAAGCACGTCCGTGTGGCCCTCCCAGGACTCCAGATCTCTTCTAACGTTTGAGTTATCTTTGGCCTTTTTTCTTTTATGGACTGACGACAAAATATGGGATACCTTTCCCTTTCTAGATGGCGTAACATTTTTTGTTTCCTGTATTACTTTAGAGGCAATTCTATTTTGACTAAGCTGTTTCTTTTCCGTTTTTAGTCTCTTCACTTTTAGCGGTTTATCCATAAATTGTAATAGTGACCTTTCCTTCTTTTTTTGTTCTTCGTCGTTTGGCTTGACCTCGTAGTAAGCCACTGTCTCAGGTGACAACTCTTGAACGTTACCAGACGTTTCTGCTTCAGCTCTGTTTGAACCATGAGCCAAGTGTTTTTCAATCTCTTTCATTTCATTTGCTGTCAATCCAAATATAACAGAAGTTGGACTTATCTCGGAGTCACGAGTCCCTGGTTGACTGCGTGACTTTGTCGGTTTGACTGCCAAGGAATCGCTAAGCTGTAGCTTTCTGGGGAGGTTTAATTTCCTCAGGAACGAAGGCACCTGCTTTAAATTTGCTTTTCTTCTATATTTCCTCTCCTTGTGTTTGGAAGAATACGTTTTCGCTATTTTCTCTTTCTTTTTTAACTGTGCCAAGTGGTCTGGTAATGAGTTCATTCCATATGGTGTCGTAAACTCTTCTTCGTCGCCTTCATTTATTGCTTCCTTCTGATTATTTCCGTCATTGTGTAAATCATAACTAAATGACGAGGACGGTTTATTCGTGCCAGTTAAGCGGTCAAAATTAACAAGGCTGCGCATAGGGGCAAGATCTACGGCTGAAATATCGGAGACAGTTTTAGGACTTAAGAGCATCTGATCCTCAAGGTTGGATTCCACCGGTGTTTCATACTTGTCGCTTTGCAGCCTCTCAAAAGGTGAACTAGTTGATTCAGAAATGGTTTCCATATTTCCATTTCTCCCGTCAGGACTAACGAAGACAGGGTTGGTTTGATGCTGAACGTCCGCTTGTTGGACAGAAGCCATAATTTTCGAATTCTGTTTTTCCTCTTCCTTAATCAAACTGTTATCTCGCGCAAACGACTCGGCAACTTCGGCTTTTCCAAGTCGATTATCTAGAAGTTGTCCTGTAACGTAATTTGCTTCCCCGGTATCTAAATCTGAAACTGTTGTTTTAGGTTTGGGTAAGACTTGTCCCACAATGTGACCAACGTCGTTTATTTGGTGTTCAAGATAACTTGCTTCTTTTTCATCTTCCTCTTGCATACCATTGTATGGGCTGGCTGCAGAAACCGAGAACTGTCTATTCACCATGGAGTCCCCCATCATATTTAGCTGTAAATATTTGGCTTCATCAGGATCTAACTTGGTGATGTTATTGAAAAGAAAACGGCCATCTATTTCTTGATTTTGATATTCTTGTGAAGGGACGTTATTTGTCATTGATCCCAGCATTGTTTCATCATTTAATTTTTTATCCTCAGCAGATTCCTCTTTAACATTTTCTCCCACTTGCTCATTGCTTCCTTCGTAGGCGACGGTCTTACTTGCGCTTGATGTTTGAAGTTGTTTGCCACCCATACTTTGTTTTTCCTCCATAATTCCCTGAAGAGGAATAGTATTGTTTAGGTTGGAAACCAGTCCATTTCCGTATGGTGTCAAAAGTTGCCCTTTATCTAAAACCTGTTCTTTGTTGGCTTCAGTGGAATTTTGGCCTTTAAGTCGCCCGACCTTGTCGAATTCAAGTAAAGGCCGATGGCTTAAATTGAAACTATGACTTATAACTCCAATATGGCCTGCCTGATATATAGGTTTCTTTGCTATCTCGTTTTGTGTGCCTGGTTTAGCGCTGTCTTGGACTTTTTGACCGGCAACATCCAGTTTCGAAGAAGAAGCGGGTGTGCTACTGTTCAATTCCTTTGCCACCTTAGATGTGTTCATTACAGTAGATGCAAACGTTTTATTAGTAATGCCCAAAGTATGTGCAGGTTCCTCCATATGGTTTGCACCATGAGAACTATACGAAAATCCGTCACCCGGCTTTCTTATGGGCTCACCGTTGACCTTCGTGTGCAGCAAAGTATCAGTTGATTTAACTTTTGTCGAGTCAACTTTCGGACGAACTTTCAAGGAGTTGTTTGAGGCTCGTCCAAAATCAAGATGTGAAATTTTATCACTTTGCTTTAAAAGAGCCAGTGCTATTGCGTTTGCCCAAATGTTCTTTACTGTTGGGTGTTTAGCCAGTTGCATTGAAACAAACCTGCTCCCCTCGTCACCAAGACGCTCTATGACATTTTCGATAAGTTCTGGAAGCTGAGCGTTTGCCGACCCCTGCATAGAATTGTCAAGTCTTCCCTCAGATGATTGTGTGTTATTGAAAGCCTTCTGATTATTTTCAGTAAGTTTATCGTTTGAAATATTCCTTTCTCTTTTAATAAGAGTCGTTCCAGTATTGATGTCAGGCAATGAACTAGAAACAGCCATTTTTCCAACGAAAGTTGAATTACTTGTAGGAATCTTTCCCCAATTATGATTTTTCGTGAAATTTTGTCCATTATCAGCTGAATTATCAATTTTGTTTGTTGCGCTTGTTATTTTATATGGAGCTTTCCCCGATGAATTTTGCCTACTGGCTTCTTGGCTGAATAAATATGAAACTTTAGCGAGTGGGTCTTTCAGTAATTGCTCTTTGACTGGCCGAACATTCTTGTGTAAATTTTGCTTTTCTGAAGAGGTCAGTTTCTGGGACAAACTTGCGTTTTCAAGTTTTATCTCTTTATTTTCTAGAGTAGTAGGGCCAAGAAGAATATCCCCTCCAGAGTCATCCTTTTCAACATGGAAGCCATAATTCTTGGCCTCTTGATTTTCCAGTTCACCATAAACGTTTTCTTCAAGTGCTGAAGGTGTCAATACATCTACCTCGGGACTTGCGTCAACATATCCTTTATTATCGGCATCGTTCCCTTGAAAGTTATTCTCCTTGGATTCGGTGTCTTTCAATACCCCAACAAAATGATTGTCACTCAAGGGACTATTCTGTATCAGGGTAGACTTGGCAGCCTTTATCGCTTTCCTGTTACCTCTTCTTACGTTTTTCTGGATCCTTTTCACATCTTGATCGTCCGTCACAGCTATCAAGGGCTTTCCTAAAGTGATGCCTGTATATGTGATAATAAATGATAGATATATGCAAAAATCAAAATATTCATGGTGACATTGTTAATCTCGTTTCTCAAAGAAATATAAGATCTATCTACAACAAAACTTTAAAACACGCACGTCCTGCTAGTGCACTAAGTTTACACCCTCCTAAAAACCGAGTCAGAGCCACGTCACATTTCTTATAAAGAATTTTCACTTCCTTTTCTTCACTTTTCCTGCCCTCCAAAAATGATGTAAACTCACATTGTGTCTAGTTTATATTAAACTTAGTGAAATGTAGGCATTTTGTAGCTCTAGTTTCTTGACTCAGCATGAGTACTGAAGTTAGTAAAAACACCAAGCACAAGACCCTGTAATAAGGCTGGCGTATTTCAGGTTGTCTTATATTCACATATATAAAGGTATTTCAAAATTTTGCTAACAGCAAACCACTCTAGTAAGTAACTATTGTTATTATATGGCTGAGTCTGTTTTCGCCATGCGATTGGTCAATTCGCGGTCCGTAACTTGCTATACGGACCAAAATTTTTAAAGAAAATGCTCATTTCGGAGGTCTAAATCTCTTTACCTCGGAAAAAATGTTAAAATAAAGTTATAAGACGCCTGTCAACCTTAAGGACTTGGATGTTGAGTTTGGCCTTCAACATTTTAACTCTGTTTATTTGTGAACGAAGGCGATGAAGAATAAAGTAACTCGTAATCGTATCGAAGAGGATTCTAGTCAGTGTTTGAAAATTTTATCGTAGTACACAGTTGAGAAGACGAAAATCGACTGGCAGAGATTCGAGATGTTTTGCCTAAGAGGAAATGAGTAATTCCTTCAACAAATATGATAACAAACATACCTGCACCCAATCATCTTGACAAGCTTCTTTGTCATTTGCAGTGTTTTTTCAAAGACCAACGAAAGAAAGTTCGAGCAAATTCGAGCCAGACACAATAATGTCCAGTTTTCAAAAGACTCCAGCGTCACATTAACGAGTGAATACTTACAGTGCTCTTAGTTTACACCGAATAAACTTTGAAATATGTATGTAAACGCTGAGGACTGGGATGTTGACTTTGCCTTTCCAAATTTTAACGTAGGTTTGTTTTAATGAGAACGAAGCTGTTGTAGAAACTGAATCGTAACCTTACAAAGGAAGAGAATTCTAGTCCGTGTTTGAAAATTTTAAGGCAGATCACATTTGAAGACGAGAATGAACTGGCAGAAAGAGAGGTTTTCCCAAAAACAATTAACGAGCGAATCCTTCGACAATGACAACAAACTAACCTTAAAAAGCTTCCTTGCCTTTTGAAGTGTTTTCTCACAAGGAGGAAAGATGGAAAAAACTTCTAAACAGACACATTGTCCGGTTTCCAAAATGCTCCAGCGTTACATTAAAGAGCTAAAACTTACAGTGCTCTTAGTTTTGACCGAATAAACCTTTTTAACATGGCGAGTTTGTTTTTACTTTCTCGGAAAGCCTTTGTTATGTGCTACTGTTTTCGTGCGCCAATAAAAACTTTCTTTTTTGACAGCTGTCAAATGACTGTCAAATCGTGCGTCCTGCACTTGTTTCCGGTCCCCCGAACAGGAAGAAGCCATATAAAATCGATGGGAAAAAACTCGGTCCGTAATTTACAGTACGGACCGAAAACTCGGCTAATAAGAGGTATTTATATCAGTCTGAATATCGAATGCGATGATTAATAAGCCTGGTACTCTTCCTTTACGGGTCTAGCCAAGATTTTTCCAGACGTGCGCGCAATTTTTCAGTCCATCCATTTTCCTAAGTATGGTTTCTCACACCACTTCTATTTGTGAAGGCTGAACAGATTGATCACAATTAAAGTTAAGAATATACTTCAAACTCACCAGAACTGCCTGGTTCAACAAGGGAAACACATGTCGCGTATGTCAAAAACCAAGTGAATTCGATAATTGCAAATGCTGTCCTCCTCATTGTCATTTATCAACAAATTCCATGGCAACCTGAAACTAAGAACAAAAATTTGCGCTTAAATAACCAAAATGATTTAAGTCCCTTGAGATATATCATCATAAACTTGAAATCCTTTTTTGTGTCATGCGGTGATCTCTAAGTAGGTGTTTCACTGACTCAGGTCGGACTCGGCCACTTTTTGTTGTAGCAATTCATATATTATATATAACTATTAGCTCAGTTCCTCTATAGAAATAAGAGACAGTAGATTAAATCGGAAAGTGTAGTTAACTACAGTTTCTTGGTAAGTTCTTGCTTGTTGGTTATAACACTGCGAATGTGTTTTATAGTTAAAAGTACTTAGTTTTCATTCCTACAAGACAATTAATAACATTTTCTAAAAGTTTAGCTGTTCTTCATTGAAGATGTCAAAAATAATAGAAATCGGTCAAATCTTTCCAGTTGAAAAACGTAGCTAACGCGGTACGTGATAAATAGGTTCGGGTCTAGGCCTTAAGTAGTGCTTCCGTGTACTACTCTGAGTTCGCGATGTTTTTCTTTTTAGATAGATCAACATTGTTTGTAGATCACCTCTGACAACGGGATATGAATTTAAAAATGGTAGTGAAACGATATGGTTTTCTGTTTTGAGAACACTGAGTGAGCTGACTCAAGATAGGTCATGTTTTTGCGGTCTTGCAATACGTGTGGTACAAACCTTTGCGGCGTCAATATGAGCTGCTGGTGCAGGCACTAAATGACTTCTTGAAATGACACTTTTTTTAGAGGATATTG